GGTCTCCCCAGCTCCCAAAATGAACTGCAAGCCTTTTTCTCAGCGGAGCGCGGTTGCGCGCGGCGAAAACTTTTTTTTTGAAAAATTTTGCACTGAAAAGCCGGTTTTTAGCGAAATTTTCTTATTTTTCGTCAATTTTTTCAATTTTTCGTCCATAGAAATTGTTAAACAGGCAAAAACACACATTTTAAGTACAAAAGCAGCTAGTTCCGACTAAAAATGAAAGAGGAGATCGACTTTGAAGCAATTTTCAAAAACCGAAAATTTCTCAAATTGTTCGGTGTTTTAATAATTTCTTTTGTCAAATTATTGTAAAGAATCTATTTTTGAGTGTTTCAAGCTATTATTCGATTAAAATCTCTCGCGGTGAGAAAAGATACCGCGATTTTTCGAAAATTGCTTCAAAGTCGATCTCCTCTTTCATTTTTAGTCGGCACTTGCTGCTTTTGTACTTAAAATGTGTGTTTTTGCCTGTTTAGCAATTTCTATGGACCAAGACAAATTGTACGAAACCGTGCGAATTGTGAAACGACAGTTAGGTTGTTCGCATACGGTATGCAGAGAATGTGTCCTAAAACATGGTGGAAACGATTGGAGATGTTGCCCATTTTGTAAATTGACTGGCATAATTAACGGTGAGTGTTAATTGGACCAATTAATTCTTTTTGCGGAAAATAATTGTTTATATCTTACAGGAAAGGCTAGCAAAAAGGAGAAACAGAAGGCTAGAGAGGATTTGAAGAATGCAATTCAGAAGTTTTAATTACAAAAATACTTAATTATTTATTTTTATTTTGATCAATTATATAAATTATTTGGATTATTACCAAGTTTCGAAGTGTTATGGCTCAGCAACAATAGCACTTTTAAGCACAGTCTGAAAAAAAGACGTTTCAGTTAATTAGGATAATTTGGACAGTAAGAAATTATAGTATTTAGAAATTTTAAGAAAAATGTTTTTTTTTTCTGGAAGTTTGTAATTTTGTGTTCCTTCTATTTTTCTAGATTAAAAAACCAAATTTGTTAACTAGGTAGGATCAAAAAAAAAAATGTTTTATCATTTAGTACTTTCCGAATTTTCGATAAATTGAAACCCCACCAAAAACCGCAATTAAGTAAAGTGACAATTCAACTGTTAGAATAATCTGAGTTTGGGTCATTGAGAGCTTCAAAATAAGTATAAATATGACTATTTTGATGGAATATGAGCAAAGTTACAGTAGTTCAAAATTTTCGAGACAGCAAAAATTCTGTAAATGGACAAATACTAGATCAAATTTCGATTTTTTTCAACATGAAAATGGTTTTCCTAGATTGACCATATTGAGAGCTTCAAAATGAGTATAAACATGACTATATTTGAACACTTTTGTTTTTTTCGAAATTTTCGTGGTGGGACCCAAAAAATGTAATATTACCGTAACTCGGTTGTTTTTTGACAAAACTGAAAAATTCTTGAAGATTTTGGTTTTTGCGATTTTTATAGTTTTTTTGGAGATTCTCAAAATTTACAAGGGTTTCAGAGATGATTTTTAACCTTTTTAGGCTCAAAAACCTTACATTTAGGAACTTTCTGGAAATCGAACATTTTTGAATTTTTGCAAAAAAAAATTCCGATAATCTGAAAATCTGAAAAAAGACGTCTTGAAGCTTCCGGAACCCCTAAATATTGCTTTTCACAAAAACAAAAAAAATTTAGCATCAAGTGGAATCGAACCCTGGTGTTGAGATTCGTTATTTCCATGTCCAAAAATCCACTAGGCCACCTGACCAAATTTTTAGAAAATCCCGATTTTCATCAAATTTGAGAGGTTTTCTAGGTTTTCTAGAGTCCCAGAGCTGTTTTTCACAATGAATTCATCTGAAAACATTATTTTTGCCTTCTTTTCTTCTGAAAATCGATTTTTCGGAATTTTCACTTTTCCAAAAGCCTTAAAACTTGAAAAAAAACCGTTCTGAAAGCTTTTTTGGGGTTTCATAGGCTTTAAAGGGGGGTTGAAGCTGAATTTCACATTTACATTTTCTGTTTCAAACCATAGTGTCGAACCATAGTGTTGAGATTAGTAGATTTGCTCATCCAAAAGTCCACCAGGCCATCTGACCAAAATTTTAAAAAATCGCGATTTTTATGATTTTTCATGAGTTTTTGGGGGTTTTCTTGGGTTCCAGAGATGACTTTTAACTTTTTAAACTAAAAAACCTCAATATTAGATACTTTTTGGAAATCGAAATTTTTGAATTTTCAAAAAATTTTCCGAAAATCTGAAAATCTGAAAAAAAAACATCCGGAACTCCTAAACCATACTCTAAATAAAAGCAAAAAAGGTTTGCCACCGAGTGGAATCGAACCCTGGTGTTGAGACTCCTAAATTTTCGTGTCCAAAAAACCACTAGGCCATCTGACCAAAATTTCGAAAAATCTTGATTTACATAGTTTTTGATGGATTTTTTGGGGGTTTATAGGTTTTTAAGGGGTTTGAGGCTGAATTTCGCAATTATTTTCAGGTTCAATATCCGATTTCCGGGTTTTTCTTCGGTTTCTATGCATTCCTGTTGCCATCCTATTTCTTTTTTTTTGTTTTTTTCCATTAATTTTCTCCCTCAAAGTTTTCAAACTGCTCATTATTTTTCTTCTAATTTCTCTTAAAGAGTTTTGATCCTTTTGGTTGCTAGGCAACGGATTTATCCTTTTTTTTCGAAAAACAAAAATACGAAAATAAATTATTTTGGGCCTAAAACTCTATTTTCGCTCATTTTCCACCGTTTTTCTTGCTCTTTTTTGCTGAAAATCTGAAATTTTAAGGTTAAAATCTGAAATTTTAAGGTTAAAATTTTTGAATTTTCAGAAAATTTGAAATCCTCTATAAACTAATTATTTTAGAATTTTCAATTTTTATAATTTTCAGAATTTTCAATTTTTTGAGATTTTCAGAATATGAAGTCTTAAATTCTGAAACTTCTAGAAACGTTAAATTTTCTGAAAAATCCAGATATTTGAATGTTTTGAAATTCTTAGAATTTACAGAATTTCGAGAATTTTTAGAATTTGAAGATTTTCGGATTTTTTTGAAATTTTTAGAATTTTCATTTTTTCGATTTTTTGAAAATTTAAGAATTTTAAGAATTTTGAAATTCTCAGATTCAGATTTGAAAGAAATTTTCAGGATTTCCTGAATTTTCTTTTTTTTTGAAATTTACAGAATTTTCAATTTTTTTTTCAAAATTTCAGATTTTGCGGAAATATTTTTTCTTTTCTGAAAATTCCAATTTCTTGAAAATTTTTCGAAATTTTCCGAATTTTCAGATTTTTTTAAATTCAAAGCTTCTAAAATTTTTTAACAATCTTTAAAAATCTGAAATTTCAAAAAATTGGAAATTTTAAGATTTTTCGAGTTTTCAATTTTTACCAATTTTCAGAATATTACGAATTACGAAAAAATATTTTTTTTTCTTTTCCTCAAAATACCCAAAAATTTCAGCAACTCCTACTCCTGAAATTCTTCTTTCTCTCCATCCCACTCTTCATATTCGTGAATTATCACTATCTTATCAAATGTGACATCAATGCTTCACCGGAATCAGTAGTTGGCGCATTTTTCATTCATTTAGCGCCCCTAATTATCTCTATCCGACTAGCAAAAATATTCTCAACTGATATTTGGGATACTGTAGCCATCGCATTCATTCAAATCATATTTTCTTTGATTTCCTATTTTGCTACATTGGATTTATACTTAATTTATCATAACCAAGTTGAATGGACCGATTTGGCACCACCAGAATTTGATGCTGTGGCTCCTACTGTAGCTGTCGTTGAAGTGAAGCAAAAGCCGGAGGCTATTTTATTGTTGCTGCTTCCATGGTGAGGGAAATTCTGTATTTAGAGCAAGATAATTTTTAAAAAAATTAGCTCTGGGACCCTTGAAAACCTATAAAACCCCTAAAATTCCGCTGAAATTCATGAAGAACAAGGTTTTTCAAAAATTTGCTCTCGTGGTTTAGTGGATTTTTGGACATGAAAATTTAGGAATCTCAACAACAGGGTTCGATTCCACCTGGCGTCAAACTTTTTTTGCTTTTGTTTAAAGCAAGAATTAGTGGTTCTGAAAGCTTCTACCAGCATTTTTTCGGATTTTCAGATTTTCGAGAAAAAAATTTGCGAAAAAAATTTTCCCGAACTTTTCGGAAAATTGCAGAAACTAAGGTTTTTTGAACTAAATTATTCAGAAGAACCTTTAAAATCACAAAAAATCCCTTTTACGCTTCAATATGGCTCAGGTCGGGTTTTTCGAAGTTTTTTGAGTTTCTATGCATCAAAATACGTTTTAACATTTGGATTTTATACAAAATTGATGCGGAAAGCGAGTTTGGACCCTTAAAAACTTAAAAACCTTAAAAATCCCTGAAAACCCGTTAAAAACCATAAAAATCAACATTTTTCAAAAATTTGCTCAGGTGGCCTAGTGGATTTTTGGATGTAAAAATTTAGGAATCTCAACACCAGGGTTCGATTCCTCTTGGTGCCAAACTTTTTTTGCTTTTGTGTAGAGCAAGAATTAGGGGTTCTGGAATCTTCTACATGCGTGATTTTTTAAAATTTCAGAATTTTCTAAAAATTGTGATCTCAAAAACTTCAAATTTCAGAATTTTCGACATTCCAAGTGTTTAGAAGCTTCTAGAACCCCTAAATCTTGCTCTACACAAAAGCAAAAAAAGTTTGGCACCAAGAGGAATCGAACCCTGGTGTTGAGATTCCTAAATTTTTACATCGAAAAATCCACTAGGCCACCTGAGCAAATTTTTGAAAAATGTTGATTTTTATGGTTTTTAACAGATTTTGGAGGGTTTTTGACGGTTCTATAGGTTTTACAGCGTCCTAGAGCTGTTTTTTGCATGTATTTCCCTTCTAATCAGCAATTTTCAGCCCAAAATGCGATGGATGTAAGCTGGAATACACCCCAGAACGAGTTGCATTGATTATCAGAGAGTGTGGACATTCGATATGCACGGATTGTGCTAAAAAGGCAGCTTATGATTACTATGATCATTATTTGCACTGCCCACATTGTAGTCTTCCCAGTGTAATTAATGGTAAGGCTAATTAAGAATAATTAAGTTTAAAAATTTATTTTTTTTTCAGGAAATTTGAAAAGGCTACACACCAATTTCTCTCTAATTAAATTTGTATCGGAAATTGCAAAGATAAGAGAGGAATTGGAAAAAGCTGAAGTTCCAGAAGTTCCTCCAGAGATAATTGATTAATTGACCAATTAACTCTTTCAAAAGAAAAAAATTTAAAAAGTAAAAACTTTATTTTTCAAGTCTCAGACTTCACTTTTTTGTCAAAAATCAAAAGTTAATTGCCCTCATTATGTAAATTAATTCCGTTCCTAATTGCTCGTTTCTCCGCGGTCTCCCTCGCCTCCGTCTCCATGATTTTATCCAAATTCAAAAGTTGCAGTACCAATTTATCCAGGTCCCAAATATGAAAAATGTCAATTTCTCGATGATTCTTCACGAAATCATTGCCCGCTGTCTGTAATTAGGGGGTAATTAACTGCTAATTAGTGACCTAATTAACTCAAAACTCACAAAAATATTGCTTAGCATTAGCACAATTGTTCCAAATCGCTCGGCAATTTTCTCCTCAGAACTTTCTAGATAATGAGTGTGAAGGGAGGATAGTACTCGATTCACCTGTTGGGTAATTAAGTGTCTCTTTGCCTCGGACACATTTTCGAAACCTGCAAATATAGATTTACTGGAAAAAATGAAGAAAAATGAAACATTTTGACGCTAAATTTGACACTAAACGCTTCAATATGGCTCAGGCGGTGATTTCTTGAGCTATGAAGTATCAAAATACACTATAGCCACTCATTTCAAGCAGAAATTAATGCAAAATTCGAGTTCGGGGCCCTTGAAAACTATTAAACCCCCTAAAAATCCATAAAAATCAAGATTTTTCAAAAGTTCGGTCAGATGGCTCAGTGGGTTTTTGGACATGAAAAACTACTAATCTCAACATCAGGGCTCGATTCCACCCGGTGGCAAATTCTTTTTGCTTTTGTTTAGAGCAAGAATTAGGGGTTCTGGAAGCTTCTAGATGATTTTTTCACCATTTTCAGATTTTTGAATAGTTTTCTACAAAATCCGAAATTTTTGATTTTTGAAAATTTGCTAAAATTAGGGTTTTTATGATTAAAATTATTGGAAATCAACTCTGGGACCCTCAAAAACCTATAAAAACCCCCCCAAAAATCAATCTAAAACCATAAAAAACGAGTTTTTCAAAAATTTGCTCAAATGGCTCAGTGGATTTTCTAGCATGAAAATTAGGAATCTCAACACCGGGGTTCGATTCCTCTCGGTGGCAAACTCTTTTTGCTTTTCTGTAGAGCAAGAATTAGGAGTTCTGGAAGATTCTAGATGCTTGATTTTTAAAATTTCGATTTTTCTAAAAATTTTGATCTCAAAAACTTCAAATTTCAGAACTTTCTAAATTCCAATTGTCTAAAAGCTTCTAGAACCCTTAAATCTTGCTCTACACAAAAGCAAAAAAAGTTTGGCACCAAGAGGAATCGAACCCTGGTGTTGAGATTCATAAATTTTCAGGGTCTAAAACCCACTAGGCCACCTGACCATAATTTCAAAAAATCTCGATTTTCATAGTTTTTTATTGACGTTTGTAGTTTATATAGGTTTTCCAAAGCCCTGAAGTCAATTTCAAGAGTCCTAGAGCTCAGTTTAACACCTATTTCTCCCTAAAACCTTGGAAAACGCGACCAGCTTACCTCCTTGAAAGCAGGCTAGCGCTTTTAACGCGACAAATTCCTCAAAAGTGATGCTCATGGCTTTCATCGCTGGCATGATCTCATCCGTAATTTGTTTCATAATTGGCACATAATATTTTCGTTTATTCTCTCCACTGATATCCGGTTCATCCTCCCAACCAACACCATGATGGTCGGCCGTAGAGATAAATCCACCATTTTGCATTATCAGCTTATCCGGCTCTCCAATTTGATAAGAAAGGAAAGATGGGTCGAGAAGAAAGTGAATGAGCACTGCTTTCCGTAAAAGTGACATTCGATCGAAATCATCTAATTCCTGGAGCTCTGGCCACGATTGGAGCCACTCGTAGACCAGCATTATATGGGTTTTGATGGTCAGACGAAAGTCATGGAATACCAATGGCTTGATATCCTCTTTTTTGTAGGGCTGAAAAAAGGTAATCGTTTTTGGAATTAAGTTAGATGTCTAAAAAATATAATTTAACACATTTTTTTAGTTGGACCCATCCCGATAGTTATCAAGGCTGCCGAGATATGATCAGCTAAAAATTTACTAAAATTGGTTAACGTTAGTTTAAAAGCGCATATCTCAATAACTATGATAGCTAGAACAAATTGTTCAACTAGTAAAGTGTGTAAAATGTTATGCTTCACAAGTTTGTAGTTAACAAAATTTAGTTAGCTTGTTTAGTTTTGGAGATATAGTCTTTCAAAGACATCTGGTTCATTTTTTCACAAACTCATGTGAATCTCAGAAGCAATTCGAGATTTTCAAAATGTTTAGCATACAAAGATACAGAGCACAAAATTTCCCACATTCTTCTTTTTTCAAAATTGCTCTAGCTTAAACAACTAGCAGAGTTACACCCTCTTTTAGCGAGACGCAAAGAAGCGAGAGCGCTCTCGTTTCTCTGCGTCTCCTCCATTAGAGCGGGCACCCTTTGGAGCGCGCGCCTCAACTTCAAAACGTTATATCTCAAAAACTAGAGAAGATAGAAAAAAGTTGTTAACTAGTAAAATGTGTAAATTGTTATGCTCTACAATTTTGTTGTTTTTAAAATTTTGCTAGCTTGTTTAGTTTTGGAGATATAGCTTGTCAAAAAAGGTCCGCTCTCACTTTTTTTGAGGGCTAGAAAAATGTTTTTAACTAGACTCACACACTGTCGATTTTGCCCTAAAAGTGTTCCCACTGCTCTCTCGCTGAACAAAAGCCTTCTTCGCTCCCCTAATTTCATTTCCTCGCGGATTAAAACTGTTAAAGCATCTGGAAGAGAAGGTTTCGGGGTACTTGGACTCATTAATGATGCCGGGGATGGTCCAGGGGTGCTAAACATGGTGATTGTGGAGCGAGTCGAAGGTGTGGATGAGATTTTTCGAGGTGTTGGGATTTTCTGGAATTTCAGAATCCATTTTTTGGATCAAAATCCCCAAACTAACCACAACGAAATCATCCAAATCCATTTGACTGGAATCCTCTGTCTCTACAGAAGAAGAATCCATGGGGGATACTGTAGAATCGGAGACCTCGATTTTCGGAATCTTCTCGACCACCAACTTTTCCTCATCTGCTGTCACTGGAGAGACATTTGCAAACTTTTTGTTTCTTTTCAACCCGGATTTTGTGAAAAACGCTCTTCCAGTCTCCACATTTCCCTTTTTTGGCTGCACACCGGCTGGCTTCATTCCACTGGTCAGACATTTCTTGTGACGACAGCTACGACAAATTTGGTGCATGCCTGGAAACATTATTCTAGTTTAACTCGTTTTTCTAGCTCTAACCGTTCTTGAGATAAGGTCAAAATAGCGGAAAAATTACGTACTTTATTTGAGGACCCGTATCTCTAAAACTAGGCTAGATAGCAAAATTTTGTAAATTACAAATTTGTAGAACATAAAATGCTACACATTTTATTAGTTAGCAACTTTTTTCTAGCTATTATATTTTTTGAGATATAACGCTTTGAAGTTGAGGCCTCCGCTCCAATGGGGAGGGAGAGAGGACAAGGGAGACGCAGAGAAACGAGAGCGCTCTCGCCGCCTCGCTTGAAAAAAGGGGTGTAACTCGGCTAGTTTTGAAGCTAGAACACTTTTGAAAAAATGAAAATGTGTAGAATTTTGTGCTCTTCATTTTCGTAGCTTGAAATTTAAAAAAAACTTCATTGCTATTTGAAATTTATGGAAATTAGTGAAAATAGAACCAAATGTCTTTGAAAAGCTGTATATCTAAAACAAGGCATGCTAGCCAAATTTTGTAAACTACAAACTTGTAAAACATAAAATTTTACACATTTTATTAGTTAGCAACTTTTTTCTAGCTATCATAGTTTTTGAGGTATAATCCTTTTAAAATTGGCCACCAAAACGCGGGAGCTCGCGAGCGCGAGAGAGAGAGGGGGAGTGGGACGCAGAGAAACGAGAGCGCTCTCGCCTCCTCGCTTGCAAAAACATGTGTAACTTGGCTAGTTTTGAAGCTAGAGAAGTTTTAAAAACAGAAAAATACGTAAAATTTTGTGATCTACATTTTTGTAATTTGAAATTGTTAAATAGCTTTATTAGTTTTTGAGATATAACGCTTTAAAGACACCCAACCCTTCTTTCCTATGTATCTCTCTTCCCGTTTGAGTTTTTCCGAAAATTCAAACTGGAACTCCTCCTAATTACCTCTAATTAACTTACTGTAGTGTACTGCACAATCATCTTTGCCTGTGATACACTTAAAAGTCTTTGTCAGTGCAACGGTTCGTCGAAAAAACGCGGCGCACGCCGAGCATGACTGAGCCTCAAAATGGAATCCGGTCGCTTGAGCCGAGCAGATGAGACAGCGTGTAGAAGGTGGAGAATCTAAAAAAAATACTCAATTCGGAGGTGAGGAGGGGTTAATTGGCTGTTTGAATAATTTCAAATTTCAGAAGAAAAATTTTCGAAAAAAAAGATTTTTTTCGAAATTATTTTTTTTTCAAAAATTCGAAAAATCATAATTCGAGCTTCTGGAACCTTCTAGAACCTTAAATTCATGCTCTAAGCAAAATCAAACGAAGTTTGGAACCAGGTGGAATTGAACCCAGGTGTTGAGATTCCTAAATTTTCATGTCCAAAACCCCACTAGGCCATTTGACCAAATTTTTAAAAAATCGCGATTTTCATGAATTTTCAGTGGTTTTATAGCTTTTAAAGGATTTCAGAGCTGATTTTCATACTCATTTTATCAGAAAACGTCATTTCCGACTATTTTTCGAAAAGTTTTCAAAAATCGAAATTTTGGATTTTTTCATTTTTTTTTTTCAAAAATTCCAAAAATCATAATTCGAGCTTCTGGAACCGTCTAGAACCCCTAAATCATGCTCTACGAAAAAGCAAAAAGAGTTTGACGCCAAGTGGAATCGAACCCCGGTGTTGAGATTCCTAAATTTTCATGCCCAAAAATCCACTGCGCCATTTGAGCAAAATTATGAAAAACCTCGATTTTTATGGTTTTTTGGAGATTTTTGAGGTTTTCAAGGGTTCCAGAGATGGTTTTTGAAATTTTAGACTCAAAAACTTTAGTTTTAGGAACTTTCTGGAAATCGAAAATTTTTGAATTTTTCAAAAAAAATTCGGAAAATCTGAAAAAAGACGTCTGGACGCTTCTAGAACAATTGATTTTTGCTTTTCACAGAAGCAAAAAAAGTTTGGGATCTAGTGGAATCGAACCCTGGTGTTGGGATTCCTAAATTTTCATGCTCAAAAATCCACTGAGCCATTTGAGCAAATTTTTGGAAAAACCTCGATTTTCATGGATTTTTGAAGATTTTATAGGTTTTTAAGGGTTCCACAGCTGATTTTTCAAATTATTCTTATCGAAAATATCGATTTTTCAAATTAAAATTTCCAAACTCACCCAATTTCCCCATTCTACTCATCTCTCAATCCAAAAAAAAAGTACTCAAAACTTAAAATTTAGTGCTAAACAAAATAAAAAATGGTGTGATCAACAAAATAAGAAGAAAAAGACGATGACCGCGCAACAGAGTAGTGTAGCTGATAACGATGCGTTTCTCTGCGTCTCCTCGAGTTGCGTACTCTCTCGCCGTCTCTTTTTTCCGCCAAAAAAACGATGGGAGATGATAAGGAATGGGTATTCTGTGAACTTTTTTCCTTGTTTTATTGTGTTCTTAGCAATTAAAAAATAGTTAATTGGGCAATTAATTAATTAGTTATTTTCTTGATGGGATTTTTCAGGAGCTTCTTCTGGCTCCGGCTCCGGACCTCTTAATTTTGCAATATCCTTTACAATATTCATTAGTGCACAATTGATAACCAGTCTGTCGAAATTGCCTGAAAAAGATTAATCAATTAATTAATTACCCCTAATTAGCCTAGAATAGTTGGTGTCTTACAAAATGGACATAACAAATACCAATTAATATATCTGCTTGCCAACTGTTCCACACAATTAGAACATATCGAATGCCCGCATTCCGTCAAAATTTTTGGGACATTCTCTTTGCTGTACTCCATGGCGCAAATTTCGCATTCCGGACTGTAAAATGGGGGTTTAAAAGTTGAAAAATCATATTTTACGTGCCTGAAAACCTATATAACCGTTAAAAGTTTGTAAAAAACCATGTAAAACCCTCTTTTCCAAATTTTGGTCAGATGGCTCAGTGGATTTTTGGACATGAAAAATTCAGAATCTCAACACCAGGGTTCGATTCCACTCGGCGCCAAACTTTTTTTGCTTTTGTGTAGAGCAAAATTCAGTCGTTTAAGGAGCTTCTGGATGCCTTTTTCAGACTTTCAGATTTGGGAAAAAAGCGAAAAATTCAAAAAATTTCGATTTTCGAAAAATTGCTAAAACTAAAGTTTTTGAGAGTTCAAATTTCAAGATTTTCGGTATTCCAAGTGCCTAGAAGCTTCTAGAACCTCTACACAAAAGCAAAAATAATTTGGCACCGAAAGGAATCGAACCCTGGTGTTGAGATTCTTAAATTCTCATACCCAAAAATCCACTAGGCCATCTGACCAAATTTTTGAAAAACATAGATTTTTATCAATTTTTGAAGGTTTCATAGATTTTAAACAATTTTTAAGGTTATTTTTCTCAAAAATATCGATTTTTCCAATTAAAAATTCCAAACTCACCTGAACCATCTGACCGAATTTTTTTGAAACGTTGATTTTCGTGGTTTTTAAGGGATTCTAGCAGTTTTAAAGGTTTTTAGGGGTTCCAGAGCACATTTTTGAGCTAACTTGATGTTTTATAGTTTCAGAAATATCGATTTTCACGAAGATTTGAAAAAAAACGTTTATTTCAGCTTTAAAAACGACCCGAAAACATGAGATGCCTTAAAAAATATGACGAAAAAGACAAAAAAGTTTTGATCTACTACAAAAAGATCTGAGTCGTCGGTGGCTCCTCATCCTCTTCGACATCTACACTTGACACGTGGATTTTCGAAATTCCAACACTTCCAGAAGAGCTCCATCTGGGACTAATCAGACTTGGAGCTAGTGTGCCGCCATTCTGATCGTCTCGCAGCCACGTTTGCACAAATCCAAGTTGTGCGGTTATCATCTGAAAGTTTTTTGGCTTAAGATTGTAATTTGGCGCGTTTTTCTAGTTGGGACCATTTTTGTAGCTCCTACCGTCCTTGAAATAAACTCAAAATAGTGAGAAAAAGAGTTTACCTTTTTTGACAAGCTGTATCTCCAAAACTAGAATAGCTAGCAAAATTGTTTTAACTACAAAATTGTAAAGCATTAAATTTTACACATCTTTGTAGTTGTAAATAATTTAGTAGCTGTTTTAGTTTTTGAGATATAACGTTTTAAAATTAAGCCAGGAAAGCACGCCCTCCATCACTAGGGAGAGGGAGGGGGGAGACGCAGAGAAACGAGAGCGCTCTCGCCTCTCTGACTTGCAAAAAGGGGTAACTCGGCTAATTTAAGAGCTAGATGAATTTTGGAAAGAGGAAGTTGTGTAAAATTTTATGTTCTACATTTTGGTAGTTATAAATATTCTCCTAGCTTGGTTTTTGAGATATTTCGTTTCAAAGTTACCTGATAAGCCCCAGCTCGAATCGTCATCAACTTCTTTCTCTGACTAGTCATAATTGTCGAATGTGCACTTCGAATTCCCTTATTGATTGCTGTTAGAATCACCGGATACGCGGTGCACGAAATATACGGTAGCAGGTGGGTAAACGTAGAGACCACAACCATCCAGTTATTGGCGATTGGGAAAAAGGAAAGGAGCCAAAAAAGGCACCAGTAAGGAGTCCAACAGACTAGGTACACAATGACAAATGCAGTTACAGTACGACGAATGCGCAGAATTGATGTGCAGTTGATACGGTTGGAACTGCCTGGAGTTTTGAAAGTTTTTGAAAAAAAAAATTTTTTTTGAAAAAAAATTTTTTTTTGGAATTTTCTGAATTTTTATACTCTCCGATGTAAAATTTAATTTTAAACATTTTTTCTGTTGGAACATTTTTTCTAGCTCTAACGGCGCGCGAAATATAAGCCTTCAAAGTTGGAGGAGTGAGAGACGCAGAGAAACGAGAGCGCTCTGCGTCTCTCACATTACAAAAAGGGGTGTAACTCGGCTAGTTTTGAAGCTAGATCAATTTTGAAAAAACTGAAATATCTAGCATTTTGTGCTCTACAAATTTGTAGTAAACAAAACTTTTCTCGGATTTTTAGATTTTGAGAAAAATGCAAAAATTCTGAAAAAAGGAAAAATGACTCACTCGAAGTAGTTCTGATGGACGAATATCGTCTTTTCAGAATTATCGGAACTCTCAGATAGAAATACACGTAGGCAGCACTTGTGAGAACATACCCAAAGATGAACGCCAGTACATTGAAGATGGTGGCTGAAAATTTTGAAATTTTGTTGAAAAAATTTTTTCCAAAAAAAGAATTTTTTTTTGAAAATTTCTTTTTTTTCAAGTTATTCGAGGTAAAAACTTTCACTTTTTTATACTTTTGAATTTTTTTCATCTTAAAAAAAAATTACCGTAGGGATGTGGCGGATGAAAACTGCAAACGGTCACTTCATTAAGCACTCCCTTCCTTGGAATCTTATACCTTCGGGTGTCGGCGAAAATGAGCACCGAGATCTGGAATTTTTTAGGATTTAAATATGAAAAATTATAAAATATAAAATTCAGGATATTTTTTCCAGTTGGAAATTCTTTTCTAGCTATAACGGTTTTTGAGATATAACCCTTCAAAGTTTGGGGTTAGCTGAATTTGTGAAAAATGGTATTTCTTCTTCTAGGCGTCATATTTTAAAAATCGTAAAAGCTAGAAAAACAATGTTAACAAATAAAATTAAGATAATAAAATTTCACACATTTTTGTAGTTTACAACTTTTTTCTAGCTTTCTTAGTTTTAGAGGTATGCGCCTTTAAACTTAGCGCGTGCTCCTAGTAGGGGAAGGAGACGCAGAGAAGCAAGATAGTCTCGTTGTCTGCGTCTCTCATTGTGTTAATGGAGCCTTTAAAAGTCAAAAAGTGGCTGAAAGTGTTGAAAACACAATAAAAAGTTTCATGATTGTCTGCCTAGGAGCTGAGATACAGCGATTTGAAACAACTTTAGGCGACTTTTGGAAATACCACATTTTCTCTTGAATCCCAAATTACAGCCATTTCAAGTTTTACAACATTTTGTAGCCCTTGAAAAGCTACACAATTCAAGTTTTTAAAACTTGGAGATTCCTCAATTTTGAGTGGAGTTATGCGCCTTTAAAGTAGCAGCTGCGCGCCAGCAAGGGAGAGACGCAGAGAAACGAGAGCGCTCTTGCTTCTCTGCGTCTCTCATATTGAAAAATGGGCGTAACTCGAGTAGTTTTGAAGCTAGATTCATTTTGAAAAAAGGAAATTGTGTGAAATTTTGTGTTTTACATTTTTGTGATTAACAACGTTCTTCTAGCTTCTCTAGTTTTTGAGATATTTTCAAAAAACACTCACCACCAACATGACCACTGCACAAAACGCCATTCCCGCATACAACCGGAACAGAATCGTCCACGGTGCCAATCCCTTTTTCGAGCACTTGTGTGACGTCATTTTGACGGATTCGTAGGATTCTCGACTGATTAAAAGGAGGGCGAGCGGGATGACGAGCTTGTTGACTACTTCGATGATGTAAAATGACTAAAAAATATAGGGATTTTGGATTATTTTTGTTCTTGGGTTATCCGTACCTTGCAAACAATTGACCCAAAAATCCACTGCTGATAAAATTGAAAATGTACATATAGAATCAGATGTGACAGGACGAATAGGTCAGCAATGCAAATGAACAGAATCAGAGAGACCACTTTGCGGGGTACTGTAGTTTTGTCGAACATAACCACTACACCGACCTGAAAACCAAAAATTACGTCTTTAATACCCTTGAAACCGAAAAAAAATTGGAAAAATGAAGCATTTTGACACTTAACGCTTCAAGATGGCTCAGACTGTAGTTTTTAAGTTTTAAAGCAGCAAAATACATTAAAACCGTTTGATATTGAACAAAAAAACGCGAAATTGAGTCTGGGACCGTTGAAAACATTTAAAACCCCTGAAAATCCATGAAAAACCAGTAAAAATCGAAATTTTTCGAAAATTTGCTCGGGTGGCCTAGTGGGTTTTTGGGTGTGAAAATTAACTATTCTCAACTCCCGGGTTCGATTCCACCCGGTGGCAAAGTCTTTTTGGTTTTGTGTAGAGCATGGTTTAGGGGTTCTAGGAGGTTCTAGACTCTTGGAATGTGAAAATTCTGAAATTTGAGGTTATTAGGATCAAATTTTTTTCCAAAAATTCGAAAACATATGAATCGAGCATCCAGAACCTTCCAGAACCACTAAGCTATGCTCTACACTGAAGCAAAAAAGGTTTGCCACCGGGTGGAATCGAACCCTGGTGTTGAGATTCTTAAACTGTCATACCCAAAAACCCACTAGGCCATCTGACCAAAATTTTGAAAAAGCTCGATTTTTGGGAGTTTTAATGCATTTTTGAGGCTTTTTTTAGGTTTTCAAGAGTCCCACGCTTGATTTTTTCATTTATTTCAAAAAATCGATTGGTTTTAGTGTATTTTTTGTCCTTCAAAACTCAAAAATCTCCGAAAAACCTAACTATGCCCGTTTTTTCTTCATTTCTCTCAACAATTCCATATCTTCAATTTGCAAAAACCGATGTTATAGGTCAAAATAAACAGTAAAATCTGGTTTTCCAGGTTTAAAAACTTATCAAAACCTTTAAAATCTAACATTTCCACTTTTTAGGATTCCAAAAATCACAAAAATACAATTTTTGAATAAAAACGATTGCTCACCTTCCAAGAAACCCAAAAGTTGCCTCCGATTCCCACTGCAATTGTGATCACATAGCAAATAGTGTTTAGAGTTTGTGCCAGGATAATGTAATCATTTTTGTTCATTTTCTGGAAAAATCTAAATTTTAGAATTTTGAAAAAAAATATTTCAAAAATTCCAAAAACATAAGTACTATATATAAGATGAGGTACAAAATGACAAAGCAAAAAATAAAATGATCTGGATAACTGGAAAAAGTGGGCGGAGCCAAAACGGATAGAAATGGATCAAAAATAACAGAAAAATTTTAGTGATTCATTCAAAAAATGAATTTTGGAGTTTTCCGAATGACGCTCATACAAAATGAACAAAGATCAAACTCCAAAAATAAGGCTCAAGAATTGGGATCAGACATTTCCTGGATTTTCCAAAGATTTTCCAAAGGGGTTAGCTGAATTTGTGAAAAAATGGTATTTCTTCTTCTAGGCGTCATATCTTAAAAATTGTAAAAGCTAGGAAAATAATGTTAACAAATAAAATTAAGATAATAAAATTTTACACATTTTTGTAGTTTACAACTTTTTTCTAGCTTTCTTAGTTTTAGAGGTATGCGCCTTTAAAGGAAGGTAGTCTCTTTTAAATGAAATTTCTTATACTTAGGGCGTTCATATTCATTTTGAAGCATACAGAGAACAGAGTTCAAATTTTCTTAGAATATTTCTTCTAGCTCTAACAGTTCCTGAGATATAACCCTCTAACTAGAGGTAATGGAGGAGACGCAGAGAAACGAGAGCACTCTCGCTTCTTCGCGTCTCTCTTTCCGAAAAAGGGGTGTAACTCGGTTAGTTTTAAAGCTAGATGAATTTTGAAAAAAGGAAAATATGGAAAATTTTATGCTTTACATTTTTGTGGTTTTCCACTTTTTTCTAGCTTTCCTATTGTTTGAGATATGCGCCTTTAAAGTGGCCACACAGAAAAACGGGAGCGCTCTGCAACTCATCGTTTGCAAAGGGAGGAGTAACTACAACTTTTTTCTAGCTCTTTTGGGTTTTCCGGAAATTTCTCTTTTTAATAAATTTTTCTTTAAAAAACCGAAAAACAAAGCAGATGGAAGAAAATGTCAAGACCCCTCTTTCTAATCGGATCAGACAGCAACTAGAAAGTTTTGAAAATTTGAAAATTTGAAAAAATTGATTTTCAGAATTTTTGGGTCGAAAAAAGAAGAAAAAAGCGGAAGAGAAAAAAAATGAATGAGAGAAGACATAACAAAAAATCTAATAATCAGATTTCAGATGGGGGATATCCGTTCATTCTCTAGACACTCATTTTCCGGCCAAAAAAATGAGAAAATAGGAGGGCCTATTCTGATTATGATGACACATATAGATACTAGTGTAAATAAAAATAAGAGAAAAACATGGCAACTAATAGTAAGTTCATTCAGCAGAGCATAAAATTTTCAACATTTTTCCAATTGGAACCGTTTTTCTAGCTCAAACGGTTCGGGAGATATCACCCCTCAAAGAGACGCAGAGAAACGAGAGCGCTCTGCGCCTCTAACCTAGCCTGTAACTCAGCTAGTTTTTAAGCTAGCAAAATTTTCAAACAATAAAGTTGTGTGAAATTTAAAGTTCTACGTTTTTGTAGTTAACAGCTTTTTTCTAGCGTTTCTAGTTTTTGAGATATGCACCTTTAAAGTTAGCGCGCGCTGTTACGGTGCGAGGCGAGAGAGAGGGGAGTGGGAGACGCAGAGAAACGAGTGATTCTCGCTGTCTGCGTCTCTGCTAGGGAACAAATAGAGTTAGAAAGTGCCTTGAAGCAGTGAGTAAGACAAAATGTCATTTTTACACCTGTAAAATAAAATATACTGTGTCGAAAAATCTATTTTTCCAAAACTCTGAAAAAAATTTAAAACAATTTTTTTGAAATTTTTTAAAACTTTATACTTCTAGATGTGAAATTCAATTCTAAACACTTTTTCTCCAGAAACTTTTTCTCTAGCTCTAACGGTTCGCGAGATATAGCCCCTTAAAGAGGGAGAAGAGGGAGACGCAGAGAAACGAGAACGCTCTCGCTTCTCTGCGTCTCCTTGCTTGGAACAAGGGCTGTAACTCGGTTAGTTTTAAAGCTAGCCTAATTTTGAAAAAAGAAACTAGTGTAAAATTAAAGGCTCTACATTTTTGTAGTTAACAACTTTTTTCTAGAATTCTTGGTTTTTGAGATATACCGCTTTGAAAGAGGGAACCCTGAGATTTGTCAGGCTAGAAAGTTCCTTGGCATGTTTACACTTATTTTAAAAGTCTTAGAATGCTGGACTCAAATTTTGGAGTTTGAATTTATGAATTTCAAAATAAAGAGTATAAAAATAGCCCCAAAAATTAACGAAATCGAGGTCCCCAAGCTAATCGAACACAAGATAGAGGAGGAGGCGAACGAAATAAGTGAATCTGAGAGAAAAGAAAGAGCTCCTTGTATGTGTCTTCTCATTGTGTTTGTGTATCTGTGTATTCACTACTAGACACCATACAAATTGTTCATATCCCTTCTCCTCCTTTCAGAGGACCTCCACTCCCCCCCCCCCCCCCCCCCCCCCGAAAAAAAAATGCTCTGACTCTCTGTTGGAACACAACAAAAAATAAATTTCTTTTGTTTTTTTTTTTGGGCGATGACAGATTTGGTTGGTCTACACTACACGCTGAAAATGACTAGATTTTTCAATTCCAGAAAATTCTGAAATCCTGAAAATCTGAATTTGAAACTTTTATTTTTTAAAGAACCAGTCGGTTTAGGCCACTTCGGAGCTAAACCTCCTGGCCTCCGGTTGCCCTCCACCATCCACCCTTTACTGACAGGTGAAACCAAGGAACGTCTCCAGAAGACTTCCAAATCAAAATTTCGAAAAACCAAAAGTTCGGGCATCAACTAAGACACAATTCTGATCTATCTGTCCAGGTTTCAGCTTGATCGGTTACCTTTGAATGGGTGATAAGGTGTGCTACATACATACGCACATACAGAATCTGGTGAATGTTATTAGTAATGGTAATGATTCTGGAAAATCAGAAAAATCAAAAAAGTCGTTAAATCCAGGATTATCAATTCAGAAAAATTGAAAACTAGGTATTTTCGAGAAATTGGAAATTCTGAAAATCGAAATTCCAGATCTTCAAAAAGTTTAGAAAATTGAGAAACTCAAAATTTTGGAAAACGAGGAGAAAGTACAAGAAATCCAGAAAAGAGAATCAGGTTTCTGAAATTTCAGGCTTTTTTGGTAAAATCTGAAAGTGGGAAAATCTGAAACTTTGGAAAATCCAGGACAACTAAAATAGTAACTAAAATAGTCCAGAATTCAAAAAATTGGAAATTTCGAAAGTTTGGAAAATCTAAAAAATTAGAAAATTCCAGAAATATCAAAAAAAAAAGTCCAAAAGTTCCAAAAACAATTCTGAAACCCTGGAAAACATAGAAAATTGATATTCAAGAAAAGTTAGAAATTCGGAAAAATTAAAAAATTCCAGAACCTCGAAACTTTAAATTTTTGGGAAATTTGGAAATTCAAAAACTGAAAATCGGGAAAATCTGGAAAGTTTTTAAATTCAAATGATTGGAATTTCAAAAAAAAATTCGAATTTTAGGAAAATTCGAAAATCCCAAAATTTTTAACTTCAAAAAAGGGCCAAAAATTTTTGTCCAATTTTCTCAAAAAGAATTATGGTCCATAAAAAAAAATTGTATAAGTCCTTTTCCTGGAAAATGCGTTTTTCCAAAAAATTGTGAGTCATAGTAACAAAAATAATTTAAAAAATCTAAAATTCCAGAACATCGTTCCCATCAAAGGAAGAACAGGAAGAACAAAAAATTCCGAAAAAAAAATTTTTTTTCGAAATTTTTTGTTTCATCTTTTTCCCCAAAAACTCTAACTCAGGTCGTAAATCAAGATCAAATGGACTTCAAGAAGACAAAGAAGAAGAAGTAGAAGACGTGAAAAGAAGAAGAGGAGGAAAAAGGTTTTTGAGGTTTTAGAGAAATTTTTAAGGACGTCAGTAGTCAAAAATCAGAAAAATATTTAAAAAAATTTAAAAAGGAGCAAAATATGGAAAAAAAGAAAGTTCCGAAAAATCCAGGATTTCAAAAAATTTCAAAAATCTCAAATTTTCGAAATTATAGAACATCTAGGAATTCGTCGAAAAATTCACGAAATTCCGAATTTTCTAGAAAATTTCAGAATATGCTAGAATCTTTTTCTTCTAGAAAAAAGAAGAAGATATCAATAAGGAAGTCTGGAAATCATTTTTTTTTTCTTTTTATTAATTTTTCTGTGTATTGGGTGTTCCTCTTTTTTGTTCCCGGAAATCCGGTAGTAGAGCCAAATCAGGATTTCCTGGAATTTCAAAAATTTTCATAATACTTTTTTTTTGAATTTTTAAAATTGTTCAGAATCTTATTACTAGATAGAGTAGAGTTCTAAATTCTCAAAATTTTTTAAATTTTCGAAAAATCAAACTTTCTAGAATCTCAAACAAAAAAATGTGAAGAATTCGAAGAAAATGAAGAATTGTAGTAGTAGGAGAATCCAAAATCGTCTTCTTCTTTTTTCTGAAGAAGTGAGCACTTCTTCTGATTAGAAAGTGCTCCCCATCCACACACTCGATTTGTGCTCCGTTGAAAAAAAAACGAGAAAAAATTGAATTTTTCAAAAAAAAAATGTTTACTCTACTCGAAAAAAATGAGTAGGAGGAAGATGTCTTATGATTTCTTTTATGATGCTGAGCAATTTTAAAAAAAAAATGGTTGAAAATCGGAAAAATTGGAAAAAATTGTTTTCGTTTTTTTTTTTGGACAAAAATTTCAAGTTTTTAATTTGTAAAGATTTGTCTGAAAATGTCAGGCAATACTAAACACTACAAGAGCTGCATTTTTGTAGTTGATCACGTTTTTCTAGCTAGCGTAGTTTTTGAGATATGCGCCTTCTCATTCACTGGCGCGCGCCTGACGGGAGGCGGGTCAACATTAAAGGCGCATACCTCAATAACTACGGTAGCCAGAAAAACGTTGTCTACTACAAAAATGAAGTTCTTATTAAGTTTAATATTCTCTGAAATTTTCAGTCAAATTGAATAATCTTGAAGGTGGTTTCAGGAGTTTTGATTTTCGCGATTTTCAGGGAAAAGTATTTTTTTTCATTTTTCGAAAATTTTCAGAAATATTAAAAACTTTCAAATTCCAAAAAAATTGTTTAAAAAAGGTTCAACAATTTTCTTCCGAATTGACTTTTGGTTCTATTTTTCACCCTCATAGTGTCTCTTTTTTCAACACTTCTTCAGACTCGACGTCTTCAGAATTTTGAATTCCTTAAAATTTTTTTTTCAATTTCCACATCAATGATTTTTTATTGTCGAGCGAGAAAAACATTTTTGGGGGAAAAGGACACATTTCCTGGATTAAACTATACATTTTTAAATATGGCTGGCGTGCCGTTGGCGCGTTTTGGAAATTCAGAAAAGTTAATTTTTTCGATTTTTTTCAGAAAAAAGAATCTTTTGAAAAAGATCTTTTACCAAATTGAGCATAACACAATCAAAATGAGCTCATTATAATCAGAATATGAAATTTTTGTTATTGAAAAAAATTCTTTTAGATCCCGATGGACCATTACGTAGTAGCTGTCTAGGAGAAATGGCAGGGATTAGTTAGCAATCAAAATTTTCAATTGCTCATAGTTCTACTCAGAATTGACATTTTCAAAAAATCAAATTTGGAAAAGGTAGAGCTCAAAAAGAGCTACAAAGTGATGTAAAAGTTAGCTATGTTTGTTTTTATTCAAGCTTGATCTAAACTACAGTATTAACATATTTTCTAAAATTTTCTGAAATATTATATCCAGTTTGTATTACTCATAACTTCCTTCAAACTTGGAATTTCGCCAAAGTTTAAATTGTGGTTTGTAGAACTTGAAAAGAACTACAAAATATAATAAAGCATAATAAACATTAAACTATTCATTACTAATATAAACCGGTCAAACTAAAGACAAAAATAAGGATCAGCGCGAGGAGTTGGTGTAAGGTCAGTAAGATGAGAAGTAACATAAGTTTTTTCAAAATCAGAATTTAAAAAAAACTAAAAATACATATTGTAGAAGGCAAAAAGAGCTACAAAATGATATATAACATGACAATATTTTTCCGAAAAAGAGGGAAAATCAATAAAATCTTATTGAGGATCGCATAGTTTCCCTGGAGGTCAGTTGTTTCGAACAGTCAGCTAGATTAGAAAGACCATAACATTCTTCAATATTAATATTTTTCAAAAATTCACATTGCAAATTGTAGAATCAAAAAAGATCTACAAAATGATATAAAACATGATAAGCATACAGTAATCACGTTGTAGATACTAGTAGGTTAAACATAGTATCACCTCGAGGACAAGTTGTGAGGTCAGTTGTTTCGATTAGTCAATTTAGAAGAATAATAACTTCTTTCAAAAACGGAATTTTTAAAAAATTCAAACTGCAAACTGTAGAGCTTGAGAAGAGCTACAAAATGATAAAAAATATAATAAGCATCAACTGGACCAAATATCTAGAAAATGGAAAACAAACAAGCAATGCTATCAGTAGCTCCCTTGAGACTGTAAAGCTATAATCGAGAAGATTCTTAAGAACCGATTTTTTATTGTTAGTAGATCAAAAATTCCAATTTCGATGACTTATAGTAAGATTTTACCAGAACAAATCAGAAACGGAAATCTTTGACCACCCGAACTAAATGGATGAAAAAATGAAGAAAAATGAAGAATCGACCACTTGACTTCCTCAATTTCTCTTCTTCTCCCTTTTTTTTCGTAAAAAAGAGCACATAATTTTGAATAGGGTCTTCGATTTTTATTGAATTTAGAGACGAGAGGACATGGCGGCGATGAGGTGGCATGTTTTGGACTACGATCCAGTAATGTTTTAGACGTCATCAGAGAGGTCGAAAATTAAAGGAACATTTTTTGGAAATGGGGAAATTGCAATTAAATTAGATCTGAACTTTTTTAATTCCACCAAAAATTTTTCGTCAGAAACCACGACTGTATAGCGGGTGGACCACCAGAAAGAGCTCAGTGGGCCATATTTGGTGTTTAGGAAGTCTAAAAGGTCTCGGAGATTTGATGTGGTTCTGAAAAATAGAAAATTTTCAAAATGATCTAATTCTGATGAAAATTGATATCACGATCTGAAAAAAAAATCTATATTCTGAAAGAAAATTTCAAAAAAATCTAAAATTTGAAAAAAAATTTTTTTTTGGAAAATCTCAGGATTTTTTTCGAAACATTTTTCAAAATGGTCCAATCCTGATAAAAATTGATATCACGATCTGAAATGCCCTGAAAATCGAGATTCGAGAAATTTTTCAAAAAATCGAAAATTTGAAAAAAAAATTTATTTCCGGATTTTTTTTCGAAACATTTCTCAAAATGGTCCAATTCTGATAAAAATTGATGACACGATTTGAAATTGCTTGAAAATCACTATTCTGAAAAAAAATCCCAAAAAATTGAAAATTAAAAAAATCTATTTTTTGAAATTTTAGGATTTTCAAAAAAACATTTTTCGGAATTTTCGGATTTTTCTAGATTCCTCTAGTTTTCTCAAATTTCCCAACAAACTACAATTTTTCTTATCATATATGACCAAATCATAAATATTTATGGTCAGAAAAAAAGATAAGAAAATTGCCTTCTGCTAAAAATCAATAAATAGAAAATGCTACTGGTTATTCTATACTTTGTCCTAAATTTCGCCGGATTTCTCGCCTTTTTAGCAATTTGGAATCGTCTACCGAAGGTTTGGCACCCAAACATTTTTTTTTAGCTGAAATTTTCATTTTCAGCCAAAACCATTCGACTATACCACTATACCGGGTATGAAATTGAATGTTTCAACGGCTGAGGAGATTCCAGAATTAGTAGCAATGCCAGGAGAAAAAGTGGATTTTGAGTTTAAAGGAAATTTCGAGGAAATCAAAAAGTTGGTTTTTTCGAAAAAATAAAGTTTTTCAACTTATTTTTTTAAAAATTTTTTTAGAACATTGATTTCTATGCCATTTCAGGTCGTGATATTGATTTTTATCAGGATTATATGATTTTGAAATTTTCCAAAAAAAAATTCCAAAAAATTGAAAAAATTTTTTTCAAAATTTTGATTTTTCGGAAATAGTCTTTTTCATGCCATTTCAGATCGTGATACCTTTTTTAATCAGGATTGCACCATTTTGAAAATTTTCTATTTTTCAGAACCACATCAAATCTCCGAGAACTTGTAGGCTTCCTAAACACCAAATATGGCCCACTGAGCTCTTTCTGGTGGTCCACCCGCTATACAGTCGTGGTTTCTGACGAAAAATTTTTGGTGGAATTAAAAAAGTTCAGATCTAATTTAATTGCAATTTCCCCATTTTCAATTGGTCAGTGGTTTTTCTTTTTTCAATAATTTCCAGAAACTTCCAGGTTCCTATCTCCACGGCCATCCCAAATACTGTACTTCTATTAAGCTAGCCTCCCTAAAAACGTCCAGTGGCTCTCAACAAATCCACGTGGATCAGAATCTTTCAGAAGACGTGCAAAACCGTCTTCTGGTGACTTTAGAAGACGTGAATTCAGAGGAAGACGTTAGATGTGACGTTCCGCAAATTCTGGAAAATTTAAAACAATGCAAAGTGCAATTAAAAAAGACAAGGAAGTCTTTGAGCCGCCCGCTGCTTGTGGTTTTTGATACTGAGATTTGGGTGGATGCTCACCCGATTCCGAAATTTGTAAGTTGAATTTTTTTGTTCAAAAAAAAATTCAAAAAAAAACTTATTCCAGATCCCCATCATAATCCACACCTCTGAAATCATCAAAGCCTGGTCCGACGACGAGCTTTTTCCCAAATACTACGCCCAACTCTACTGGCTTCCCGGCTTCTCAATGATTACAGAGATTTCCTAAAAACTATGTACATAAATTTTATTATAAAACTATGTACATAAATTTTATTATAATTCAAATTTTCAAAAAAAAAAGAAGAAGTTATGGCGATGTAAAAGGCATGGTGACCATTTTGCCAGCCGTGGATTTGAATGGTTCCGCGTTTGGCGCCAAACTCTCCACCCAAGACAAAAGGGTCCGTGTAATAGTGGCATATGTGGTAAAATCGACTTGATTTGAGAATGTAGAGAAACAATCGTCCAATAAGAGTTGCAACATCTTCACTTGAATCGTGGATTGGCCAGAGTCGGGAACCGACGACGCCATTTGTTCGTATTCCGAAGCAATCATCTCCAAAGCCGACGCCTGGGCGTTTAGTATTTGTAGCTGTTTGTCGGCGTCGGAGATGTCGGTTTTTAGTTGGCCCATGAAGTCGCAGGCTCTGAAAAATGGCGAAAAATGCAAGAAAATGAGCTAAAAATCAAGATTCTACGTGGATTTTGAGCCAAGTTATGAGGGGAAATGATTTGGGTCTGCTAATGTTGCATAGAGACGCAGGGTGAGAGAGTGTTGGCCTGCTAAATAATTAGCAGGCCAACGAGACGCAGAGAAGCGAGAGAAATGGTTTGCTATTAAATGTTTCTCTCTGCGTCAAACATTAGCAGACCAATGCGCTCTTTCTCTGCGTCTCTCAATAGCACGAGACAACATTAGCAGGCCAATGGGTTTGCTAAATAATTAGCAGGTCAATGCACCCTCGGCGCGAAACATTAGCAGACCACTTTTCTCGCTTCTCTGCGTCTCTGATTGGCCTGCTAAATATTTAGCAGACCACTTGCTCGCGTTTTCACTCGATTTTCCCAATTCTTACCTGAACAAAATCGCCGCATTCGTCGTTTTACATCCCAACGACGTCGTCGTCTGCGGAATCAGATCCTTCAACTCGTTGTAGCCACTCTGAAATCAATTTTCTGCCTAAAATTCAGTTTTTTTTTTCTAGAATTCTCACATTAATAGCCTCCCGCCGCTGCCGTTCACATCTCAAATGCGTCGCCTTTTTTCGATCTGTGCTGAATGGGTTGGCCGGGGTGTTGGGGGCTGATGGAGAGCTTGAGGAGCCTTCTGGAGACATCATCTCCATGTTTGAGTCCTCTTTTTGGGTGGAGGAGCTCGCCGCCGCTGATCTTGTGGTGCGCGACATCTGGAAAGAGCGAAAAATTGATAAAATAGGTTTAAAAAGTCGAAAATTTGAAGAAAAAACGCTGAAAAAGAGCTGTTTTAACTTTTCTAAGTGAATTTTGAAGAAATTTGGGTCTGCTAAATACCTAGCAGGCCAATGGAGAAAGAGAGCGTTGGCCTGATAGATATTTAGCAGGCCAAAAATACACTTGGAGAATGGGTCTGCTATTGTTTCAAACATTAGCAGACCCATGAGACGCAGAGAAAGCGAGAGCGCTAAATAATTATGGGGTTATTTATTGTCGGATTAAAAAAAGTGACACCTGAAAATCTCGGAGACGGCGCTCGTGTCGATTTACGAGGGGGCGGAGCGAAAACGGACACTGTAGATAACAAATTTATTTATGGGAATTTAGTGGGATTTTCTGAACAAAATTTTGATTTCTTGGTATTATGCTTGTCTGAGAAAAAAAAGGGTGAGACGCAGAGAAATAGTGTCTGCGTCTCCACTTAATATGTGCTATTTAGGCTCTCCGCTTCGATATCGCTACCGTATTCAGACTGCAAAAAATACTCTCTAACCTTTTTTTTCTCAGACAAGCAAAATAGGAAAATGATCGCTAGCATCTCTAGAATCTATTTTTAAGCAAAAAACTAAAATTAAACACGAAAGTAGCTCGAACAAGCCGAAATTCTGAAATATTACGTTTTTGCCGCACTTTTTCGTAGTTCAAAAAAAAGCAAAATTTTTCAAATTCTCAGGTGTCACTTTTTTTTAATTCGACAATATTCATGACATAAAAAATGTATTTTCTTGTATTTTTTAAACAAAAAAAATTAATGCATGCGAAAAAATGTATTTCATGTATTTTTTCGTATTTTTTTTGTATTTAAAAAACAAATCATGAATAACCCCATTAGCAGACCACTTTTCTCTGCGTCTCTCCCTCATTTCTCACTGCGCATTTTCCGATACTTAAAAACATGACTAGAACTAGATTTAAAGACTATGATGCAATTATGAAAAGGTTTATATAGCGATCAAGAGTACAGATCAATCCGAAAATCGATGACTAGGGGGTGCCTGATCACGCGTTAGACCCGGTTTCTTCTCCGCAAAATTGAGTGACAACGATGCTCCGCTATCCCGCCGCGCGTTGTTTAGTGACGGCGGTTCTTGCCGCCTCGTGAGTCAGATTCCTCTTCCTTTTGAATGGTGTTTTTTTCACTTTTTTCCTGGTTTATAAGGCTGAAATGGCTGAAAAACTAGGTCTCTAGGGGGAAGAGGGCGTTTTAAAACCTATCTTGAGTATGGAGCTCGCGAAAAATAGGTTGCAATTGCGAAATTGAGAAATGATGATTGTTAGGTGACAAATTTGAATTTTACAAGCGATTTCTTTGATTTTCAGAGCTGAAAATACGTTTTCTCATGTCGCTGACATCGATTCTATAATTTCCGGCTCTTTTCCTGTCAAATTTCCCCAGTTTTCACCTTGGCTATCGATTTTTCCGGAACTTTCTCGATTTCCGCCATTTCTCTCTGATTTTATCGCTATCTTTTCAGAAAAAAAGAAAACAAAAATGTCGAACATCGCATTTAACCGGCTGCAACGAGAATGTAAAGAGGTCGTTACCAACTCGGAGATCAGCGAAACCGGAATAATGATCGAGATTTTGAATGAGAATCTCACCGAGATCAAGGTAAAAAAGCCCTAGAAAGCTTTAATTTCAAATTTTCTGTTTTAGGGACACATCCGAGGACCACCAGATACTCCATACGCCGGTGGAATGTTCGATTTGGACATCAAGATTCCGGATCAGTATCCTTTCTCGCCACCGTCGGTTAGTATCATAGGGCAGCTATCAGACAAGTGCATTTAAATTTGGTCAATAAAACTCCGAAACTGGGTTTCTTAGGCCAATTTTCAGGCGTTTTATCTGCTAATTAACCTTTTGGTCCTGCTCATAGCCTAAATTATACTACTCTAAAACCTATTTCGGTCTGCTAATCCTTTCCCATCTTCCAGGTCAAGTTCGCCACGAAAATATGGCATCCAAACGTGAGCTCTCAGACCGGTGTGATCTGTCTCGACATCCTCAAGGATCAATGGTAGTTCCACTGTTTTTCCAGATACATTAATGAATTCTGAATTCTTTAGGGCTGCCTCCTTGACCCTTCGCACTGTTCTACTCTCCATTCAGGCGTTGATGTGCACCGCCGAGCCAAAAGATCCACAGGACGCTGTCGTGGCTAAGCAGTATATGGATAAGCCACAGGTTTTCAAGGTGTACTCATTTTGATTTTTTAGAAAATCATCTATTTGAAATCCCTGTAATTTTTCTTTCTTTCCAGGCCACCGCTGAATACTGGACTCTGAAATTCGCAAAAGGCACCTTGCCAGTCAACGCCGACTACCAGGCTCGTGTCGACAAGCTCAAGGACATGGGAGTTCGTGAGGAGGAGGCGATCAGCGTGCTCAGCTGCAACAACTGGGATCTCAACCGTGCCACCGTCTACATTTTCTCTTAATTCGTTCTCCCTAATTTATTCGCTTCGTTTCCGTGATTCTAAAAGTTCCTTTAAAGCCCAAAATGTGTCCGATTTTCCCCACCCCAAAACTAAAAAAACCCCTTCTCAATGGTCTTCTATGTTCAGCCTTAACAAATTATCCATTTCAGCTAATCCCTTTTCTTCTTCTTCCAACCAATCAACTGGTAAATCACAATGTTACCGTCGTCCCAAGAAATCAGTCGTAATTCACCTCTCCCGTTTATGTATTCTTTATATTTTTTTTTTCGCTTTCGACGATACTCTTCTTCTTTTTTCATATTTTTCAACGAAATACAATGACGGTGTTTCTCATCCATTGTTTTTCTCTATATGGTCTGACGAATTTCGTTTTTGAATATCTTCTTCATCTCGTTCTGAACGGGTCTTAGAAATAAATTGCTTCACTTGAACCCAGAAAAACCAATAATTATTTAGACTATAAAATGCCGTCACCACAGGAGCAGAAGACGTCATCAGATGCTCCACAACAGCAAGAGAAGAAGTTGAAGCCGTGCTGTGCGTGTCCCGAAACGAAAAGAGTGGGTTTTTAGACGAAAAATAAGCAAAATTGTTCTGCTAATTATTTAGCAGACCCACAGAGAAGGGAATGGGTCTGCTAATTATTAAGCAGGCACTAGGTCTGAAAAAATGCGAAGAAATGAGCTGAAAATCCAGATTCTACGTAGGTTTTGAGCCAAGTTATGAGGGAAATAAAATTTGGGTCTGCTAATGTTGCAGAGACGAAGAGAAGCGAGTGAATGGGTCTTCTAACTATTTCCCAGGCCTACGAGACGCAGAGAAACGAGAGAGTAAAAAAACATTAGCAAGCCAACTGTCTCGCTTCTCAGCGTCTCGTGGCCTGCTAAATAGCTAGCAGACCCACTCTTTCGTTCTCTGCGTCTCTCTGCAACACTAGCAGACCCAAATCATATCCCCTCATAACTTGGCTCAAGATCCACGTAGAATCTTGATTTTTAGCTCATTTTTTCGCAATTTTCACCGTTTTTTCGAGAAATTGGCCTGCTAATTATTTAGCAGACCCAAATTTCTTCAAAGCAGACCCAAATTTCTTCTACTTTTCAACCTTTTTTTCAGGTTCGCGATGTGTGTATCATTGAAAATGGAGAGGAGCACTGCGGAAAACTGATCGAGGCTCACAAAGCGTGCATGCGAGCAGCCGGTTTCAATGTCTAGCATTTTCCACATCTTGTTGTAGTTTGTAGTAACTCTAGTTCTATTTGTTTCTCCTGTTTTGTTCTTTGATTGGCTTTAAAATACTCTTAAAAATAATATATTTGAATTTAATTTTTTACAATTTTAAAAGAAATTAGGTGGTTTCCGGTTGAAATTATTTATCTTCACTGATGTTTTAAAGATTTTTCAAAAAAAAAGCGAATTCAGATGGTTGAAACGCTGAAAAATCCACGTCTGAAAATCGAGGAAGCCGAGAGCTCGCATCTCGAGCTCAACCGGTTATATGGGATAACGAAGGAGAAAGTGGAAGCTGTGAAAATTGGAAACTCATCGAACGACTCGAAACAGCTGAAAAACGACGTCAAGGAGGCGCAACGTCTTCTGCGAACGATGCAGACGAAAATTTCGCATCTGAAGACGTTGGCGAAAGAAGTAAAACTTATAGAAATTTCCAGAAAAAACGATTTTTCTTCAGATTCCCTCGCTTAGCGATCGAAAAATCATTGAAATCCACGTGTTGAGCCACGAAAAACAGATGGTACATCTTCAGAAAAAGCTGAAAGAGGGCGCAGACGACGTTGGCAAAGATATAGGTTCGCGCCACGTGGCAAATTTCAGTTTTCATTTAAAGAAAGTGTAGTTTGTAGCCGCCGATGAGCGACGATCGTTGTTGATGACGCGCGATGGGAAGATGGCGACGGGAAATATCAAAATAACCAGTCATGAAGAGGTAGATCGTCGATTTAGCTTGAAATCCCAACATTCATAGGAGATTCAGCTCAAAATTCCGATATTCAGAGAGCCACACGTCTTCAAGACCTCGTCGCGCGGATGTCACAGCAAGTCGATAGTGGAGAGCAAGCGATGAGCTCGCTGGTACACTCCTCTTCGGTTTTAGGGCAGACACAAGCGGAATATGATAATCAGAAAGGGCATATAATGGTAGGTCTCGAAAAATGCTCAAAAATCAAGATTCTACGTGGATTTTGAGCCGAGTTATGAGGGAAATATGATGATTTGGGTCTGCTAATGTTGAGCGCTGAACATTAGTAGGCCATTATGAACATTAGTAGGTCTTGGTCTGCTAGCTATTTAGCAGGCCAATGCGCCCGTGCGCCAAACATTAGCAGACCCATTCTCTTGCTTCTCTGCGTCTCGTAGGCCTGCTAAATATTTAGCAGGCCAACGCGGCAACATTAGCAGGCCAACGAGGCGCTGTGAAACAAGAGAAGTGGTCTGCTAATAATTAGCGCTCTCTGCGGCGAGCATTAGCAGACCCATGCGTGCCCTCTGTTACTCTGCGTCACGTGGGTCTGCTAAATAGCTAGCAGACCCTTGCGCACCCTGCGCTAAACATTAGCAGACCAACGAGACGCAGAGAAACGAGAGAATGGGTCTGCTAATGTTTGAATAAATAGCAGGCCACCGCTCCCTCTCTTTCTCTGCGTCTCTCTGCAACATTAGCAGACCCAAATCTTATTTCCCTTCATAACTTGGCTCAAAATCCACGTAGAATATTGATTTTTAGCTCATTTTTCGTGTTTTCAGACTGGCAACAAGCTCCTATCGAAATACGAACAACGAGAATTCACTGAAAAAATCCTGCTGGTCTTCTTCTTCCTCTTCTATTTCGGCGTCGTTTACTACATTCTTCAGAAGCGCATATTCTCCTGGTTTAAGATTTGGTGATATCTGGAATTTCGGAATTTTCGGGCTTTCCATTTTCGTGTGTATAAAATTAATTAATTAATTAAATATTTATTTATAAAGATTTTTCTGGGTTTTATGCCATTTTTTGTTTTCTTCGCTGTAAAATTTGCTTTTTTCCTATACTTTTAAAAGAACACTCTCAGATTTTTCGAAAATTCATTTTCAGAAATTTCCAGATGACGTCCACGCCTTCAGAAAAGTCAATGGTAGAGCTGGTCCATGAGCTCGCGGGACTTCTCCGTGAAACAAAAGATGACGAAGCGAAACGTCTTCTGACACGTCATCCGAATCTCGTAGGCTTTAAAGACGATTCTGGAAGATCTACAGTACACTTCGCGGCGGTCGGAGGCAGTTTGCCACTTCTACAGTTTGCAATTCTCAATGATTCTGAGATGGCTGACAAGGAAGATGATGTAGGAGGATTCTGAAGAAAAACCACGTGGCAATTTCTATGAATTTTCAGCTCGGTTGGACCCCTCTGATGATTGCCAGCTCTGCTGGACGTGTGGAAGTCGTACGGTACCTCCTAGGCCTCTCAAATGTCAATGCGGCCCATACCAACTCGAATCGTCAGAGTAGTCTTCATTATGCTTGCAGTAAAAACCATGTGGAAATTGCAAAATTGCTCATTGAGGCTGCTCCGGAGGCCGTAAACTTGCCTGATAAGTTTGGAGCAACTGCGCTCCATCGAGCGTCTTCTCGGGGCAATGATGTGATTGTTAGAGCGCTGATTGGCAGTGGAAAGTGTAGTTTGGACAGGCAGGATAGCGAAGGGAACACTGCACTGTTAGTGGTTCAAATATTCTGAATAATGAGCCTAATTTCACATTTCTTGGTTGATTTCAGAAAAAGTTATGGTTTTGGGTCTGCTAATTATAGATTGTTTTTCACCATGGTGATTTTTATATCATTTCAGATCGTGGTATCAATTTTTACCAAAATCGGGCGATTTTGAAAATTTTCGAAAAAAAAATCAAAATTTTGAAAAAAAAATTTTTTCCAAATTTTCGATTTTTTCGAATTTTTTTCTAGAATAGTGCTTTTCATGCTATTTCAGGCCGTGAAATCAATTTTTACCAGAAACGGATATTTTGGAAATTTTCCAAAAAGAATCCAAAACTTCAAAAAAAACTTTTTTTCAAATTTTCGATTTTTGGGTTTTTTTTTGCAAAATAGTGATTTTTAAGCCGTTTCAGGTCGTAATATCAATTTTTATGCGGATCGGAGAATTTTGAAATGTTTTCGAAAAATTTGAAAAAAGAATTTTTTCCAATTTTTCGATTTTTCTGAATTCTTTCTTAGAATAATGATTTTTATGCCAATTCAGATCGTGATGTCAATTTTTATCAGAATCGGATGATTTTGAAATTTTCGAAGAAAATATAATAATTAGCAGACCAACTTTGTTCCTTCCTTCATAACTCTGGCTAAAAATAACGTAGAAAAATGATTTTTAGGTCATTAATTTTCAAAATTTCAGACATCTGGCGTGTGATGAGAATCGCGCTGACGTGGCACTTCTTCTGGCTCACCGCGGAGCCGACATCGGGCTCAATAATAACGAAAAGAAGAGTCCACTTCAGTTGGCGAAAGATGCCGAGCTGCGTCATAAGCTGAAGGTGTCTGTGGGACAGGCAAAATGATAATTTAAATTTTAATTGAAGTAATAATTTATTGCTTTATTAAATATTTATTATTCGAAATGAAAATCAACTTCTCTGTATTTATTATTAAGGGAATAGAGATCAATTACCCATTATAAGAGGAAAGTGAAAATTTGGATAATTAAGGATTAGATACTTTGAAACGATTTTTTCTGCGATAGAATCCTCGAATCACGACTATCACAGCGAGTATAGGTGGTGTTAATCGAGTGCGAGCGTCTGGAAAATATTGATTTATCGAAAAAAAGTTCCAAAAATTGAAAAATTTTTTTTTCAAATTTTCAGTTTTTCGAATTTTTTCTTCCAAATAGTGATTTTATGCAATTTCAGACCGTGATATCAAATTTTTTCGGAATCGGATGGTTTTGAAAATGTTGGAAATTTTTTTTTTGAGTTTTTGACCCACTTTTCATCCCTGGAGCCATATTTGGATCTCAAAGTGTTGGCTAGACGACGTCGGAAACTTGAAGACGATAGACAGAAGACGACGAAATTCAAACTTTTGCCAATGACGACTAAAAATGAGGTTATGGTAGTCATATGGTACCTGGAAATTGATTTTTGAAAATTCCAAAATTTTGAAAAAAATTTTTTTTTCAAAATTTAGATTTTTCAAATTTTTTAGCTAGAATAGTGATATTTATGACATTTTAGATCGTGATATCAATTTTTATCAGAATCGGATGATTTGAAAAATTTTCATAAAGATTTTTGAAAAAAAAATTTTCAAGATTTCAGTTTTTTAGAATTTTTTTCAGAATAGTGATTTTTATGCTATTTCAGATCGTGATATCAATTTTTATCAGTATCAGATAAATTTGAAAATTTGACCTACCAATGAGCATCCAGCCTCTCTTTCAATAACGAATTGACAGTTAGAACCACTGCAGATGGGGCCTAAAATATTTTTTGCAATTCAAAAAATTTTGAATTTCCCGCCAAACCTGAGTGATAGTAAAAGAGGTAACAACTGCGCATACGGTAACGGCCACGCGATGTTCGGTTCTTTGCTGTAGAATCTGAACGTATTACTCAAAACCTAAATCTACAATACCCTAATGGTGCTCACCTGATCAGAGTGCCTTCTGAATAGAGTGCCAACGAATGGAAGTGCCACGTCACCAGATTTTCGCATTCTGGCTGAAACTCGACCCAGGGAGGCGTACATGAAGAATGAGCGTTTTTTGACATAATACAAGAGCATCATGTTTAGTACAACGAGCAGAATCATGGGAAGGAAGACGACGAGAGCCGCGTTGGCGGCACGCGTCGCGGCTACATAGGTACGAAGAGCCGGCGGGGAGATGTTGGTACGGTTGTTGGGCCAGCTGCAAAATTAAGCGAGTTATGATCAATTTTTGGAAAATCCCCAAACAGAAAAGTACCCATATCTTTTTAATTTTGGACTTAAATTTTTTCAAAATTACATTTTTATGTTTCAAATGTTACAAGCTTCAAAATGAGCTCAAACACGACTAGACTCCGCCCACTTTGAGTTTTGGCTAGAGACGCAGTGTGTCTCGCTTCTCTGTCGCTCTAACCCTGTAAAGTGGGCGGAGCCTAGTCGTGTTGGAGCTCATTTGGAATCATAATTTTAAGTTTCAAATGCTACAAACTTCAAAATGAGCCTACACACGTTTAGGCCCCTCCTACGTTGAGCCTCAAAGCTTGAGGCTAGAGCGCTAGAGAAGCGAGACCCTCTGCGTCTCTGACCAAAACTCAAAGTTTGCGAAGCCTAGTCGTGTTGGGGCTCATTTTGAAGCTTGTAAAATTTCAAACCGGTTACAGTCAGTTCTGCATGAATAACTTAAAAATTAACCGAGTTATGATCGATTTTCGGAAAATAGTAATTTTTCAGCTAAACATAAATGTTTTTGTTTTTTTTATTAAATCGACCATAACTCGGTAAACTTTTAGGTTATTTGTTCGAAATAAACTGTGACCAATTAGAAATTTCATGAGCTTCAAAATAAGCCCCAACACGACTAGGCTCCGCCCACTTTGAGGGGTTAGAGCGCTAGAGAAGCGAGACCCTCTGCGTCTCTGACTAAAACTCAAGGTGGGCCGAGCCTAGTCGTGTTTAGTCTCATTTTGGAGCTTGAAACGGTGCAAATTCGAAAATTCAATATTCATGAACTCACACATCCAAATTGACATCCAAACAGACGGCCATAATTTGCGAGGCGTTACAAAACGACTTTATAAAGCAATGATGGCTGACATGGTTGTAGAAAGTGAGTGCTGCACAACAAGTCAGCAGACTTATCAGTCCTGTTGTCAGTTTGCCACGTGACGGAGTGGTCAGACGATGGAGAGGCGAGCGAACGCCAGCGACACGCTCGAAACAGACGCCCACGACGAGCCTGAAGTGGAAAAAATTCGTAAATTTCAAAATTGTCCGATTCTGATAAAAATTGATTTCATGATCTGAAATGGCATAAGAATAACTAACCTCAAAAAAAATTTAAAAATTGGAAATTTGAAAAAAAAATTTTTTTCAAATTTTGAAAATTTTCGAAAAAAAAATCCTGAAATTTCAAAATTTTGTTTTTGGAAATTTTGGTTTTATGAAATTTCTTTTCAGAATAGTGCTTTTCATGACATTTCAGATCGTGATATCAATTTTTATGATAATCGGATGATTTTTAAATTTTTAGAAAAAAAAATCCAAAAATTTGAAAAAAAATTTTTTTTCAAAAATTCAATTTTTCAGATTTTTTTAGAATAGTGGGTTTTAAGATGTTTCAGCTCGTGATATCAATTTTTATCAGGATCGGATAATTTTGAAAATTTTCGAACTTACCATATCGCCACCGCCGACGTCCAATTAGCGAATGCAATCAAGTGCATTTTCGATGGAAGATACAAATAACGAAATGTGTAATTAAAAGCAAATCGATCGAAATTCGCCAATGAGTGAGGAATGATAAGGATGAGAAATGAGACATCACAAACTGCCAGACACGTTAGGAAGATGTTGGCTCTGGAATTTTTTAGATTTTGGGCTGCTTTTCGAATTTGGAGAATTTTAATTGGCAGCCTGTACGTAATAAATAATTAATTGCCCGCGGTATGTCCGGGGTATCAGGTTCCTGTGATAAAATAGAAGAAAATCAACAAGAAATGTGACAATAACGATTTATTAAGGGAGAAACAAGGCTAAAAAGAAACAAACAAGAGTTAAAGTCTAGAAATTAGCTAATTAAACTTAAATTTCCTTTCGGAGTCTCTAAAAACACGAGCTTGAGTTGAGCTCTCAGTCACAAACTCAAAAACTAAATTCAAATTGTGCGCGCGCCGAGCGGGATAGCGGAGTGTCGTTGCGTGGTTAGAGGGAACCTTTAGAAGGGGTTGGAGGGTAACTGCCCCAGGCAACTGATTAAATCAATCAATATTAGGTCTAGCCCCCTCCTCCTGTACTCGTTTCAAAAATTCCACGTATTGGAAAAAGAAAATCAGTTCTCTGTGAAATCCGCCTCTTTAAATTTTTATTGTTGGATAATTTTCAAGGGCACCTTCTCACTGGTAAGAAGCTCTTTGCATTACGCTGCTCTTTTGTTGTCTCTTTTGCTTTTTTCTGTCGATTGGTCCGTTGCGAAAAAAGTACTAAAAGGCCCTCAGGGTCGCCATGTTTCGGGGTTCATGGCTAGGTGTTTTATCACTGAACGTCCCCCAGTAGCAAGAGATTTTATCAAAGATTTAAAAAATTGAGACAACAATGAAAAGTGTATGCTTATGGCTGCTTAGCAGGGAGAAGGTACTTTTGAAAATTAACCGACAATGGTCTCCGAAAAGAGGGGTTTTTCGGCTGACTTCTTGTTGTTTTTTTTGTGGGGGGTGGAGGACCCCTCCCTCCACCCCCTATGGGTTTTAGGAGGTGATCCCATTGGTCAAATAAACCTTGTTTCCCTTTCATGTACTGAGCCTCTACGTGGCGAAAGGGATCAACAGACTTTCTAGTCTGGCTAATCAGTACAAAAGTTTAGTTTTCTCTATTTCTTTAATTGTAAATTTTTTGATAGCTCTTTGAGTTTTTGAATTACGCGCCTTTAAAGTTGACCAACTATCGCAACCCTTCTCTGCCACCGGTCAGCCAACTTTAAAGGCAAAAATCTCAAAAACTACGGTATCTAGAAAAAAGATGTCAACTACTAAAATGTTCAAAATCAAATTTCTCACATTTTCATAGGTTGCTCAACTTGTCTAGCTAGTGCACTTTTTGAGATATGCGCCTTTAAAGTGGACCTGCTCCCCCACTGGTCGCCGCCCACCAGTGGGGGAGGCGCGCCAACTTTAAAGGCGCATAGCTCAAAAACTACGGTAGCTAGAAAAAGATGTCAACTAAAAAAGTAAAGTTCTATTCTTGCTTTGTATATTCTGAAATTTTCAAAGAAATCGGAAACTTGAAAGCTGAGATACAGGCTCTTGAAAATGGTCAAAAATCATTTGATAGGTAGAGTATAGGTATTCAAATTCTCCGTTTTCTTCATATTCCTTTTCAAATGATTTACTTTTTTTTCTTTCAAAACTGCTCACCTGGACATAAAATCATTATTAACCAGCACCAAAATGGTCAACGCATTTCCAACGACACCAAAAAGACAAATTGGCGGGAAGAGTACAGTATACAAAAATGATTCCAGCGTTGATCCAGACAGTCGAAGCTGTGATTCCGGAAGGCATAGAGAACTCGAGTCCATGGCTTTTTGTGCTCTTTCTGGGATCAAGTGGACATCTGGAAATCGGGATTTACAGATGGACACATGGGGGAAGAAAGTTTTTAGTTTTTTAATGATTTTTCGAGAAATTTTTATGTGCTTGCATACGGGAGGAAAAATGGGGGAGATGATGGGTCTGGAGAGAATGAAGAAGAAGAAGAAGAAAAAGAAGATGTAGAAGTGGATATCTGGACAAACAGATTAAAAGAAAAAAAAACTGGAATTTCTAAAAATTGAAAAAATTTTTTTTAATTTTTAAATTTTTTGAATTTTGTTCCAACTTAGTGTTTTTTATGGCATTTCAAATCGTGATATCAATTTTTATCGCAATCGGATGATTTCTAAACTTTTTATAAAAATACAATCTTACGAAAAAAAACATTTTTTCAAAAAATTTTTTTTTCAGATTTTCCAGAATTTTCTTCCCAAATTTAAAGCCTAACTAGAACAAGTAGAAAACAGAGAAGAGAAGTGAAAACAAAACATTTTGAGAGTCCAGAAGACAAAAAAAAGATTTCGAGTGAAGATTAAAAAAGTGCTTCTTCAGAAGACGTGGGACGTCTTCTGAATAAAAAAGTGTGATGAATCTACAAAATGAAACTTTTCGGGAGCTAGAAAAAACATTCTACGTCAGAGAAGAAGACAAATATCACAAGATTGGATAATCTGAAAAAGAGGAAATTTGAAAAAATGGAATCTAAATATTTTTAAAGCTGAAAAATAGCTACTATACCTAACTTCTATTTTTACTGTTCGGCTAGATTTTCAGCTAGAATTTTTCCTGAAAATTGGCTTTTTTGAATTTGATGTCGGTAAAAATTTTTAAAAATTTGAATTTCCAAAAAATTCGAAAATTCGAAAAAAATGTTTTTTCCAAATTTCTTTTTTTTTCAAACCTAAATCAAAAAGTATATAGTTTTGTAACACACGGTGGTCTTCAGAATAAAGACATCATCTAATTTTGCCCTTGAGGCAAAGTACATTTTCTCAGCTCTTCCTGGTGAGAGGGGGATATCCCAAGGAGATAAAATGAAATTTTCTTTCTTTTCTCTCTTCAGGAAAAGTATTGAAAATGAGAGAGAAGGAAAGATAGAAACAGAAGTCCAATATTTGATTGAGAAAGAAGGATGATGAACAAGAATTACACACATGCAAAATCATGTATATATCTTATTATCATGTTCAACATTGTGGAAATAATAATTAGCAGACGAAGAATTTCAAAAATTATGAATTTTTTCGTTTTGCTTCAAAACTAGCCAAGCTATAGGTCAATTGAACGCTTTCCAGAGTTTGGAAAATACTTGAGAAATGTGAAACAAAACTAGAGCTACATTTTCGTAGTGGACAACTTTTATTTAGCTACGGTAGTTTTTGAGATATGCGCTTTTGAAGTCAGCTTTTAGATATCTAAATTAGGCACCTAGAGAAAACGCGCTCTATCTCAAAAACCTGGAAAGCTAGCAATTTTTTGTTAACTACAAAAATGTGAAGCGTAAAATTTTTTTTAAAAAAAATGTGAAGCGTAAAATTTTTTTTTTTAAAAATGTGAAGCGTAAAATTTTTGTAGTTGACAACTTTTTTCTAGCTACCGTAGTTTTTGAGATAGCAGCGTTTTAAGATTGCTTTAAATGGGTCTGCTAAATAGCTAGCAGACCCAAAGAGACGCAGAGAAACGAGATCATTGGTCTGCAAAATAGCTAGCAAGCCAACGCTCCATCTCTTTCTTTGCGTCTCGTTGGTCTGCTAATGTTGCGGCATTGGCCTGCTAGCTATTTAGCAGACCCCCGCTTATGCATGCAAACTTTAAAGGCGCATATCTCAAAAACTACGATAGCTAGAAAAAAGTTGTCAACTAGTAAAATATGTAAAATTTTAAGTTACACATTTTTATAGTTAACAAAAAATTGCAAACTTTACGGGTTTTCAAGATATAGCTGTTTTATTATTGCTAACTCAAAAAAATCTTGGTTTTTTTGTTTTCCTCATAACTTTCTTCAAAGAGCACCTAGAAATATGAAATTAATCTCATTTTGAAGGATTTTAAAAGGGAAATTCGATAAAATAAATTAAAAATTTCAAAATTCAAAGTTTCATGCCTAAAAAACTAAAAACGGGAATAGTTATGAATAAATTTAGTGAAAACGGAAAAGATTGAACTTCAGTGATCTATAAAGGCAACATTTTAAGCCTACAAAATTTCATAAAAGTAGATCAGAAACGGTTTCAAAACTTTTTGAAATTCGAAAATTCGAACTTCAATGTTCACTTATTTGCTTTTTTGCTTTGTTTCTTCTTTTTTTTTTGACAAACAACTTTTTTGAGACGAAATTTTCTTAGTTTTAGGTTTCGGGCTAGATGTCTATAGTTTTTTGGCCGTTCTATGAAATATCAGAGCTCAGATTTTTGAGGAAAAAAAATGAAAAATTTTAATTTAAAAAAAAATTCAAAACCAAAAAAGTGGAAAAAAGCGAAAAGTAAATAGAGGAAAAAATTCTTCTAGATCATTACCAAAAATTTGGGAAGATTTTTTGTGTGGACGAAATGCGTGGATTCATGCTCCGAGCCTATAGCCGCCTCAGGGCTCTTTTTGGTTTTCGCCCCCTTTTTTTGACGAAACAGTTGAATAAATAAAACAAAGTGGAACAATGCTTCGGGAGAATCATTTTTGTGTTTCCAATTTTCTCTTTTTTTGTACATTCTTGGGGAAAAATGGAAAAAAAAAGAAAATTTGGGACCGATGTATAAGTGTTTCATGAAAATCTAGAAAAAACTACAAAAGTTTCTTCTGAAAATTTCAAATTTTTAAAAAATGAAAATTTGAAATTTGTACGGAATTTTTGAATTTTCAGATTTTCCAAAATTTATGGGTTTTCAGAAATTTCAGATTGTTCCAAAATTTTTGGATTTTTAGAAATTTCAGATTTTCCAAAATGTTGAGTTTTCAGAAATTCAGAACATCTAAATTTCAAAAATTCAGAACATCTAAATTTCAAAAATTCAGAACATCTAAATTTCAAAAATTCAGAAATTCAAAAATTCAGAAATTCAGAAATTCAGAAATTCAGAAATTCAGAAATTCAGAAATTCAGAATATCAGAAATTCAGAAATTCAGAAATTCAGAAATTCAGAAATTCAGAAATTCAGAAATTCAGAAATTCAGAAATTCAGAAATTCAGAAATTCAGAAATTCAGAAATTCACAAATTCAGAAATTCACAAATTCACAAATTCACAAATTCAGAAATTCAGAAATTCAGAAATTCAGAAATTCAAAAATTCAGAAATTCAAAAATTCAGAAATTCGGAAATTCAAAAATTCAGAAATTCAGAAATTCCGAAATTCAAAAATTCAAAAATTCAGAAATTCAGAAATTCAGAAATTCAGAATATCAGAAATTCAGAAATTCAGAAATTCAGAAATTCAGAAATTCAGAAATTCAGAAATTCACAAATTCACAAATTCACAAATTCACAAATTCACAAATTCACAAATTCAGAAATTCAGAAATTCAGAAATTCAGAAATTCACAAATTCACAAATTCACAAATTCAGAAATTCACAAATTCACAAATTCACAAATTCACAAATTCAGAATCTCTTTCATTTTTAATTAAAATTTGAATTTTGGGGATATTTTTAAATGAAAAAATACAATTTTTTGGAATAAAAAACTACAGAATTCCATAAATGTTTTGTGTCCCAAAAAATAAATACAAAAACATATACAAAATGTTTTGAACCCAATTTCATATGTTTTCGGACCAAAAAATATACAAAAAACTAAAAAAAACAGACATTCGTTCTCCGTAAATGTCTTAAATTGAATTTTAAGGTGAAAAAAGAGAGATAGAAAAAACTGGAAGAATAAAAGAAGGCGGTAAAAATTGAATTTAAATGTATGGATCTCTTTTTTTTTTTTGAAATAAGACATCGAAGACTGAAAATGTACATAAAACTATGTTATTCAGGAAAAAAACATTTTGAAAAAAAATTTTTTTTGGATCGAAAATTTTAGCTCAATTTTTCTTTAAAAATATGTACTGGACCGGTTTAAAAATCTCAAATTTCGTGTTAAACGAGGAACACCACCACTTTGTTCCCATCCCGGCGTTTTTTCGTTTTTATGACGTACAAAATGCCAAAAAACACTTTTTTTCAGAAAAAAAAGAGATAAGAAAATAAAAAAGAGAATGGAGAACCACAAAGAAGAGCAGAAGAAAAAGAGCATAAATTTTTTATAGCTAAGGGGGTTTGTTCTTATGCTCTCTCTAGTTTTTTTAGTTTAGTTTAGTTTTTAGTGTCAAGTGTCAGATGGCTCTGAAAATCCAGCTAAAAGCTTCCCGGACCTTTTTGAAACAGGAAAATACATAAAACAAAGCTAGAGCTATATTTTTGTAGTTGACAATATTTTCCTAGCTACCGTAGTTTTTAAGATATGCGCTTTTGAAGTTGGCGCCAGCTTTTACGACATCCAAACCTGAGGAAAACGCGCTCTATCTCAAAAACCTGAAAAGCTAGCGAAATTTTATCAAAATTGTAGAGCGTAAAAGTTTACACATTTTTGTAGTTGACAACTTTTTCTAGCTACCGTAGTTTTGGAGATAGCAGCGTTTTAAGATTGCTTTAAATTGGTCTGCTAAATAGCTAGCAGACCCAAAGAGACGCAGAGAAACGAGATCATTGGTCTGCTAAATAGCTAGCAAGCCAACGCTCCATCTCATTCTCTGCGTCTCGTTGGTCTGCTAATGTTGCGGCATTGGCCTGCTAGCTATTTAGCAGACCCAAAGAGACGCAGAGAAGCGAGACAGAATTGGCCTGCTAGCTATTTAGCAGGCCAACGCTTATGCATGCAATTTAAGATTGCACGCTTAAATGGGTCTGCTAAATAGCTAGCAGACCCAAAGAGACGCAGAGAAACGAGAGCATTGGTCTGCTAAATAGCAAGCAAGCCAACGCTCCATCTCTTTCTTTGCGTCTCGTTGGTCTGCTAATGTTGCGGCATTGGCCTGCTAGCTATTTAGCAGGCCAACGCGTATGCATGCAAACTTTAAAGGCGCATAACTCAAAAACTACGGTAGCTAGAAAAAAGTTGTCAACTAATATTATATGTAAAATTTCAAGCTACACATTTTTATGGTTGACAAAATTTTGCAGGCTTTACGAGTTTTTAAGATATAGCTGTTTTAATTTTGCTAACTCGAAAAAATCTTGGTTTTTTTTTGTTTTCCTCATAACTTTCTTTAAATTGCACTTAGAAACATGAAATTTGGCTTATTTTGTAGGAATTTATACTGCAAATCAGAATATCATCCTCGGATTTTTTTGAGTCAACATTTGAAGTAAACTTTCACTTTCAGTGAAAATAAGGTAATAATTGAAAGCTTTGAAGTTGAGGATATTTTTCTAAAGTTTCAAAAAAAAATCGTTTTCAATTTTGTTTTTTGAGAGGTTTCAAAATATTTATGAAATAAAAACAAAAGCGGTGTCTTCTAATCAGCTGATCTCTTTTGATTTGATCTTCTATCTTTTGACTGGGCCAATTTGTGCTCCTCGGAGCACAAATTGGACACTGGGAGGTTTTTGAGAAGAAGAAGAAAAGTGAGAAGATTTTGGGGGACACACAAAACTTGATGGATTATTTTGAGAGAGAGAGAGAGAGAGAGAGAGAGAGAGAGAGGGGGGGGGGGGGGGAGAAGGATGAGCAATAAAATTGTGGAACACATTTGAGGGAAAACAAAAAGGTGAGGGTGGAAGATAGGGGGTCCCAGGTGTCTGGGTAGAGAAAAAAGAGATTTAAACTTTTTTTGAGAATTTTTGATTCCAAAAACCTAGAAATCCTGGAAAAAAGTCCAAAGTTTCCAAAATATTCAAACTATACTAAAAAATTTGAAAATATCGCCGAGTGAGAAAGAAGTTAATCTTTTTGAAAATTTCTCTCTGTTCTTCTCAATGTCCCTTTAAAGACAGAAAAAAGAGAAAACAACTCGGTTGGTGGGAGGTCCCACCAACAAAAACAAAACAATAATTCTAGAAGGGAAATTTCATTTTTCTGGAATTCGAAAAATTTTATAGATCTAACATTTTGGGTATTTTAGGGCTTCTTTGTAGTCTTCGAAAATAGATTTTGAGAACAATTTTTTTTCCAAAATTCTGGAATTTTTTGAAATTCAAAAATTTGTTCCAAAGCTTTGTAAATTATAATTTTTGAAAAGTTTGAATAACCAAAAATCAAAAAAAAATGTACTTTTCTATGGGAAAGAAGAGTCTATCCCTTAGGAAAAAATGAGGAGGTGAGAGATCAAAAACTTTAAGAGACGCAGAGAAAAATACAAGAAAAAGATAAGAAGAGCCTGTCAAGAGGTTCGCGGATAACCGGATATTGTAAGAGAGAGAGAGAGAGAGAGTGAGAGGCGCAGAGAAAAAAGTGGGATTGAAAATGACAACTGGTTTAAAAATGAGTCAACTTTTGAATTTTGAAAATTTCAAAAAAAAAATTTTTAATTTGCAAAATTTTGGAATTCTGAAATTGTGGTTATTTGTTTACCTAAAAACTATCCTTGATTTTTTAAGTTAAAAATACTTCAAAAAAATTTTTTTTCGAATTTTTGAATTTTTCGAAAAATGCCAAAAATACTAATAAGAACTAAACAAATTATGCATTTCTTCATAATAAGGATTTTTTCATTTTTTCTCACGGCGATCATCGTCAGACTTCTTCTTCTCCTCCTCTCATATTTATTTATATTTTTCAGTGTCAACTATACGAAAAAAAAATTATTTTTCAAAAAAAAAAAAAAGAATTTTCAACAAATCTGGGTGTATTTGTTTTTAAAGGGACATGGGTAGAAGATAATTTCTTATAATTGATGAGAAAAAATAAAAAAAATATACTGTACAAAAACAAATTTAAAAAAATGAAAACAAATTTTAGTGGGAATTTTTAGGGATTTTCAAAATTTTCAATGTTTTTGATTTTTCGATTTTCCCAGTTTTTGGATTTTCAGAATTTTTCAAGGCTTTTTAGAACTTTCAGATTTTCCAGAAATTTCAAATTATTGGGATTTTCTGGATTTTTAGAACTTCAAGGATTTTCAGATTTTTCAGAGCATTTTTAATTTCAAAGATTCTGAGAATTTCAAGGATTTCCAGATATTCAGAAATTTCAAATTTTCGGAATTTCTAGATTTTTAAGAATATCAGATATTCAGAAATTTTATAGATTCTAGAATATTTATATTTTTCAGATTTTGACTATTTTGGAATTTTCAGACTTTACTATTTTCGGAATTTCAAGGATTTCCAGAATTTTCCTAACTTTCAGCATTTTCAGAGAAACCGTAAACCTTTAATAGAAGGGCCCTCCGAGAGGGGTTTGAAAAAATAGAAGGGTCGTCCCTTCTGATACAGGTTTTACGGTATTAAGGATTATCAGAATTTTCAGAACATTTTGGAACTTCTAGAACTTTCAGAAAAAATTTCCGATTTTCAATTTTATCGAATTCCAGAATATCGAACATTAAAAAATTCTGAGATTTGAAGGATTTCCAGAATTTCAAGATTATCAAAATTCCAAGGATTTTCGAAGTTTTCAGAATTTTAAGAATTTTCCAATTTTAAGTTTCTAAGAATTTTTCAGAATTTTTTTTCAGAATTTCAGAACTAACTTTTTAAAACCCAAAAATGAAAAAATTGTTAAAAACAACAAAAAATAAAACATCCTAGTCGATTCCCAAAAGAATTGAGGAGAAATTCTTAAATCTAGAAGAACGTCTTCTTTTTTTTTTTTGGGATTCCCAGTACATATTTAATGTTCCTTTTTTCCCGTTTTTTCTATGTAAATATTTTGAAAAATGGCGCGAAAAATTTTTCTGAAAATTTTTGAGCGAGTTTGAAATTTATGAGAAAATTCGGGAGAAAAAAATAAAATGATAAACGATGTGTACGAATTTTTTTTGAGTTAAAAAATGAGTCAAATTTCGAAAAATCGCTGAAAAATGGAAAATCTGGAAAAATTTTTAAAAAATGAAAAATAACTTGAAATTTCAGATTTTTTAAAGAATGGATGAAATTCAAAAAAAGGAAGCAATCTGTGTAATGGCTGGAAAAATTGAATTTCAGAGAGAAAAATCGAATTTTCAGATTAAAAAATTTCCAATTTTTGGGATTTTCTGTTCTATTAATATCCCTAATTTGAAAAATTGGACTTTTTCATTAGTTTATTTTTTAGAATCCAATTTTTAAGCAATTGAAAACTTAGGATTACTGTAGTTCTGTAAGAATTACCTGTAAAATTTTGAATCCTTAAATTTCAGGTTTTAGAACTTCAATTATTGCAAGTTTTTTTTCAAAATTCAAGTGTTACCAATCTTCAGAAATTCCAAATTTTCAGAATTTTCGCATTTTCAGATTCCTTCAAGATACTTCCTCCTGATCCTGTCCACAATTTGGGGAAATTCCAAAGTTTGTTTTTTTTCTGTTTTTCCTAGTGCCCAGATGTCCACGATTCCTTCATTTTCCAGTTTTTTTGTCTGAAATTTTTAATTTTTGAAAACATTTCCGAACTTAAATATTTCAATTTTCAGATTCAATTTTCAAATATTTTTCGATTTCTAAATATTCAATTTTTGAATATTTTTCAATTTTTTAATAAAAATTAGCTAATTTTTGACATTTTCCAGATCTACGAAATTCCAAATTTCGAGCATTTTAGAATCCTTCTTTCCAAGTCTATCGGTTTGTCCGGATGTCCTCCCCCTCTTCTTCCTCCCCCTCTTTTCTTGTCCCTTGTCTCTTTTCCCCCTAAAATCCAATATATTCTTATATTCCGTCTCCTCCTCCTCCTTCTTCGCCCCCCGGTTTCCCCCATTATGCTGCTCCGTTTCTCTTCCTCTGCGTCTCTCGTTTCTTCACACTCTCTCGTCGCAGTGCGCGCGACGAGTAGCCAAGACAACTGGTCATCAACAACTCACTTATTTCTTGTTCTTAGTTTTTACTTTTTTCTAGAATTTTCTAGCAATTTTAATACTGAAAATCCTTTCTTTTTAACATTAAGGACACCATTTTCCCATTAAAATTCGAATTTATCGATTTTCAGACCATGGAGGAAGCGGAAAAAGTGAAAGTTGTGGTCCGATGTCGTCCGATTTCAACCACCGAGAAACTACAAGGACACAAAATCGCGGTGAACTGTAATGATGAGGATAAAGCGGTCACAATTAAAAGTGTCAATCAGGAAGTAAGGGATTTTTTAAGCTCAAATTATAGGAAATTGAATCTAGATCATTTTTGTAGTTGGCCAATTTTTTCTAGCGTTTTTGGTTTTTGGGATATGATTGTTCGAAAATTGGTGTCTAATATTTGAAGCGTTGGTAGGCTAAATAATTAGCAGACCAATTTGCTGAAAAAGTCAAGCTAGCCGAAAATTTCAATATACCGTAAAACCTGTAATAGAAGGGCCCCCAAACCGTCAAGTTTGAGCTTAGTTATCTCGATTCCTGTATGAGATATTAAAAAGTGGTTAACTGATAAATTGTTTATCATAGTATCAGCAACATTTTATCAGTTGACCACTTTTTGCTATCTTTCACAGGAATCAAGATATATATATATATATACTCGAAGTTGAAAGTTTGAATGCCCTTCTATTACAGGTTTTACGGTATTAAAATGTTTAAAATTGCTTAAGCTACATTTTGATATAAATTTTATTAAAAGGGGTTGGCCGGTTCTTGAGATATGCGCCTTTAAAGAGACGCAGAAGGTGGGAGACGGCAGGTAAAAAGATGTCCGTTTTTGAAACTGTTATAACTCAAAAACGGGAGAAGTCAGCTAAAAATTTTAAATTACTAAAATGTTTGAAATTGAATAAGCTGCATTTTGATATAAATTTCATCAAAATAGCTTCAAAGGTTCTTAAGATAATGCGGCTGAAATACAAGGCACCTATTTTCGGAGGGGGTGGGGGGGGAGGGGGAAGCTGGTGCGTCTTGAAGGCGTTCTAGGTTTAAAACGCTATATCTAGCGAACGAGTGAAGCTAGTTTAAATTACTTAACTAACAAAATGTTTAAGATTTGATATGCTACATTTTCGGTGTTGCCCAATTTTTTCTAGCTGTTTTGGTTTTGGAGATATAAACCTTCAGAGTTATACTTTTTGAAAATCCTCTATCTCAACTTATTTTAGCTCTAGAAAATTTTAAAACCAACCAAACTATGTCAAATTTTATTTCTCAAAATGAAGCTCCAAATTCTTACAGGAACCCCAACGAACCTTCTACTTTGACGCTGTATTCTCCCCAAATACCGATCAAATGACAGTTTACAATGTCGCGGCAAGACCCATTGTGGAGAATGTGTTGAAGGGATACAATGGTAATTAATTTAATTAGTCTTAATAATTGATTTTTGATTTTAGGAACAATCTTCGCTTATGGTCAAACTGGTACCGGAAAAACGTTCACAATGGCCGGAGAGTTGGAGCCAATAGAAATGCGGGGAATTATACCGAATTCGTTTGCTCACATTTTTGATCATATCGCTAAATGTCAGCATGATACAACGTAAGTTATCTCAAAAACTAGAAAAGCTAGAAAAATTTGTTAAACTACAAAAATGTAGAACTTAAAATTTTACATATTTCATTGGTTAGGACATTAGAGCTAGCTTTCCCCGTTTGCTAGATATAGCGCTTTAAAACTAAGACACCTTCAGGACGCGTCTGCTGCCCATCGAAATAGGCGCCTTGGCTTTCAACTGCAATATCTCAAGAACCTAAAAAGCTATTATGGTGAAATTTATATAAAAATGTAGCTTATCCAATTTTATGCATTTTGGCGTTTTGAAAACTTAGCTTCCCCCGTTGTCAAGTTATAACAGTTTCAAAAACGGACATCTTTTTACCTGCCTCCTCCCACCGTCTGCGTCTTTTTAAAGGCGCATATCTCAAGAACCGTCCAATCCCCTTTTTAATAAAATATACATCAAAATGTAGCTTATAAAATTTTACACAATTTGTTAGTTGATAAAATTCTAGAAGCTATGAGCGGTCGAGAGATATAACGCTTTGAAAACAGGGTTCTGAAATCTAGGCAAGTGAATTGGTCGGCTATTTTTAAGCAATTATATCTCAAGAACCAAAAAAGCTACCAAAATTTTGTCGACTACAAAAATGATCTAGATGAAATTTCCTATAATTTGAAATATTTTAAAAACTAGACAAGCAAAAAAAAATTATGTAAATTGAAAAACAAAATTGAACCATTGAAAATGAGAATTTCAGATTCCTTGTCCGTGTCTCGTACTTGGAAATATATAACGAAGAAATTCGAGATTTGCTCTCCAAAGAGCACAGTGGACATTTGGAGATTAAGGAGCGTCCAGATGTGGGTGTCTATGTACGGAATCTCTCAAATCCTACTGTAGAGAATGCGTCAAAAATGCAAGCCCTGATGGAGTTTGGAAATAAGAATCGTAAGTTTCAAGGCTCAGCAACCCAAAGTCACCTAAGAGTTTTAAACTTTTAGGATTTTGAAATTTTAGAAAAAATGATTTTTCTCAAAAATTTGAATTCTCTAACCCCTTAAACGCCTTTAAAATTAACAGCAATTTTTCAGGCAAAGTCGGAGCCACTGCCATGAATCTAGAATCTTCTAGATCCCATGCAATGTTTACCGTAACCATTGAATCTTGTCGAAATGGACTAGTGACACAGGGAAAACTACAATTAGTCGATTTAGCTGGATCCGAACGACAGAGCAAGACAGGAGCTCAGGGGGAGAGGTTAAAGGTACCAGGATTTGAGAATTTTAACTTACTTATACTTCCACTTTGAGCTCGATTATCTCATTTCCTGTAAAAGATATGAAAAATCTGTCAACTGATAAAATGTTGTTTATATTATGACAAATATTTTATCAGTTGACAGATTTTTGTTATCTTTCATAGAAATTGAGATAATTGAGGTTGAAGTGTTTACAGTAATTGCTCCTAAAATCCCAAAAATACCCAAATTATCTTCCAGGAAGCGGCAAAAATTAACCTATCCCTCTCTACCCTTGGAAATGTGATAAGCTCTCTTGTAGATGGCAAATCTACACATGTACCTTATCGAAATTCAAAATTGACACGATTACTACAAGACTCGCTGGGCGGCAATTCAAAAACTGTGATGGTAAGTTTAGCGTTATCTCAAATATCTCAAAAACTCTAACAGATAGAAAAAATTGGCCAACTACAAAAATGTAGAACTTGAAATTTTCTACACTTTGTTAGTTAACAAAATTTTGAAAGCTATAACCGATTTTGAGATATGAAGCTTTGAATCGGCGATTGGTCTGCTAAATATTTAGCTGACAACTTTTGAGAGACGCAGAGAGTTAGAGAGCGCATTCAAACATTAGCAGGCCCATTTGGACGTGCTATCTTAAAACGCTTATATCTCCTAAACCATTGTAGCTATCAAAAAAATTATCAAATAGAAAAATGTGTAAAATGTTAAGATCTACACTTGTATAGTTAGCAACGTTTTTCTAACATTTCCAGTTTTCAAGATACAACGTTTTGAACAGGTGAGACTCGCTCCAATTGGTCTCCTAATTATTTAGCAGGCTTACGAGGCGTCCTAGTTTTTAAGCACTATATCTAGCAAACGGGAAAAGCTAGGTCAAATTTTTTAACTAATAAAATGTGTAAAATTTTAAGTTCTACAGTTTTTTAGTTGACAAAGTTTTTGTAGCTTTTCTAGTTGTTGAGATAAAACGGTTCGTTGAGATAAAACGGGGCTTGTCATTCGTATTCAACTCCCTTATATTTTCAAACGTTTTTATCTTGAAAGATCTAAAAATGTGTCACTAACAAAATGTGTAAAATTTGACGCTCTACAATTTCTCAATTGACAATTTCAACCTAGCTGTGATAATTCTCAAGATATCACGTGCTCTTTTAGATCGCAAATGTTGGTCCAGCCACCTACAACTACGATGAGACGTTGTCAACGTTAAGATACGCAAATCGTGCAAAGAATATTCAAAATGTGGCGAAAATCAACGAGGATCCAAAAGATGCGCAACTTCGAAAGTTTCAGCTGGAAATCGAGCTGCTCAGGAAGCAGTTGGATGGTAATTTTGAACTTCTTGCTCTAGAAATTCTCAAAATTCGTTTTAGAAGAAAATCCTGGCGAGGATGAAAATCAGGAGGAGGCGTGGGAGGCGAAAATGAAGGAGCGAGAAGTGGAAATGGAGAGAAAACGGAAAATTCTGGAAGAACGAGTCAATTCGGCGGTGGACGATGAGGAAACGCATCGGCTGGTCAAAGAGATGATGGAGAATGAGGCAGAATTGAAAAAAGCAAGGAGTGAGCACGAGAAATTGAGGTATAGATTTTTTTGAATTTGTTAGATTTATAGAGCAGGAAATTCTACATATTTTTGTAGTTCGTAAAATTTGAATAGCCATTTTCCTTTTTTAGATATGCCTCTTCAAAGTCTGGTACTCAAAAATCAAAATGTTCCAAAAAAAATTTTTTTTTGAAAATTTTAATTTTTTTCAAATTTTATACCATCTTATGTAAAATTTAATTTCAATCACTTTTTCTCTTGGAATTTTTCTTCTATCTCTAACGCTTCGCGAGATATAACCCCTTAAAGAGGGGAAGGGGGAGACGCAGAGAAACGAGAGCACTCTCGCTTCTCTGCGTCTCCTTGTTTGCAAAAAGGGTTGTAACTTAGCTAGTTTTGAAGCTAAATTGATTTTGAAAAAACGGAAATGTGTGAAATTGAACTCTCTACATTTTCAAATTTGAGAAAAAATTCACCAGCTTCAATGGTTCGCGAGATATGGCTCTTTGAAGTTTGAGGAGAGACGCAGAGAAACGACAACGCTCTTGCTTCTCTGCGTCTCTACATTGATGAGATAGAATAAAAGTTTTAAGAGAAAATGTGCTTAAAATTTAATTTCACATAGAATGAAAAAAAGAATCCAAAAAAAAAATTTTTTTTGAAATTTTTTTTCCAAAATAACGAAGAAGTTTTCAGAAGCAAATTGGAAAAAATCGAGAAAAAGCTGATCGTTGGCGGTGAGAATCTTCTGGAAAAGGTCGAGGAGCAAGCGAAACTTCTGGAAATCAACAACAAAGAGCTAGAACAGTCGAAAAGTCAAGAAGCTCATCTAAGGAACCAATTAGAGGAGAAAACCGCGGTTAAAGTGGAGATTGAGGAGAGATATTCATCTCTACAAGAAGAATCGCTGGCGAAATCCAAGAAAATCAAAAAATTGGGTATGGAATTGAAGGATTCGCGTGCCGAGCTGCAGGATTTGGAGGAGGAGCATCAGAGACAGATGGAGGGAATGTTGGAGAACTGTCGATCGTTGAAAAAGGTATGCATCCAATGTAAAATTTAATTCTGAACATTTTTTATCTAGAAAACGTTTGTGTAGCTCTAACGGTTTCCAAGTTATGACCCTTCAAAGTTTCAGGGGAGAGAGAGAGACGCAGAGAAACGAGAGCGCTCTGTGTCTCTCATTTTAGGAAAGGGGGTGTAACTCGGTTAGTTTCGAAGATAGATCAATTTTGAAAGAAGGAAAACATGTAAAGTTTTGTGCTCTACATTTTTGTAGTTTACACATTTTTCTAGCTATTACAGTTCATGAGATATAACCCTTCAAAGTTTCAGGAGACACGCAGAGAAACGAGAGCATTCTCACTTCTCTGCGTCTCTCATTTTGGAAAAGAGGGTGTAACTCGGGTAATTTCAAAGCTAGAAAATTGTTTTTTAAAATAAAATACGTCCAATTTTACGCTCCACATTTCACTAGTTTACTTAATTTCACTAGCTCTCATGCTTTTTGAGTTATGCGCCTTTAAAGTTAACTCTGTTACTCGACTACCTTATTTCCTCTAACACAAGCCTACCCAGACTGTCAACTTTGAGCTCAATTATCTCAGTACTTTCAAAAGATATCAAGAAAGTTTTAATTTTTTTTTTCCAATTTATCTCAGTTCCTGTGAAAGATATCAAAAAGTGGCCAAATAACAAAATGTTTATGATAATATGATAAACATTTTATCAGTTGACAATTTTTTGATATCCCTAATAGACACTGAGATAATTGAGCTCAAAGTTGTGTACGTTCTGAGTGGGCTCCTATTAGAGGTAATAGGGTAATTTCAACGTTACTGGAATTTTCAAAAACTGTCTAGTTGACAAGAATTTGTTAGCTATGGAAGCTATGGAATGCTTCAAGGAGCATACTCTAGTTTTAGGCTAGCTCAAAAATCCCTAAAATCTACCCAAAAGTCGTCAAAATGTCTAAAATCCAATTTCCAGGAACTGATGCTAAACCTGGCAATTATCAACCAGTACATCCCAGTGGAGCATGTTGAAATGATTGAAAAGTATGTGAGCTGGAATGAGGAGCACGGAGAATGGCAGCTGAAAGCGATCGCCTACACTGGAAACAACATGAGAGCTGTGGCGCCGCCTGTAAAACAAGAATTTTCGGTAAGAAAACCATCAACTTTGAGCCCAGGTATCTCATTTTTTGTAAAAGATATCAAAAAGTGGTCAACTGATAAAATGTTTATCATATTATCACAAACATTTTGTTATTTGACCACTTTTTGATATCTTTCACAGGAACTGAGATAAATTGGCTTAAAATAGCCTGAACATTCCAAAAAAAAAACGTTTTTTCAGAGCAATAACCAAACGACACCAATGTACTATTCGTATCGTGCAGATTTGGGAGCAAGTACCGCGGAGCATCGACCAAGAACGAGTAGTATGAAACGGATGAAACAGAGTATACGACTACAGCAGTTGTTGACCTAGAGGTCATTTTCAAAAAAAAAAAACTAACAAAAAAAAACTTTCGAAAAAAAATCAATTTTGGCCCCAAGGAAATTTTTCAAAAAATCCAAAAGCTAATAAATCAAAAAAATCTCTTTACCACATTATTTTTTCCTGCTCTCTCAGGCCCGAAAACCTATTTGTCCCGGCTGTTTGGATTTTTTTTGGAACACAATTCCGTTTTTTTTTGCAATATTGAGGATTTTCAAACCTCTAGACAGAAAAAGCGCTCTATCTTAAAAGCCATAAACTTTTTTTGGGATTTATTAATTAAAAAAATTAGAATACAAAATTCGAAGCATTTTCCTAGTTTGAGAATTGACACAGCTCTTCTTGCTCCAAAAAATTAGTTGAAAACTTTTTTCTAGCGTTTCTAGTTCTTGAGATACAACGCTTTGAAGCGGCGATTGGTCTGCTAATTATTTAGCAGACCACTTTGAGAGACGCAGGTAGTTAGAGAGCGCATTCGAACATTAGCATCTAATTCTTTTTCAAAACGTTATATCTCGAAAACCAAACAAGCTAGAAAAAAGTTTTTCTTCAAATCGGCGAGTTACAACGCTTCAAATCGGCGAGTTTTTTTTTCAAACATTAGACCCATTTGGACGTGCTATCTTAAAATGCTTATATCTCCTAAACCATAATAGCTATCAAAAAATTATCAACTAGAAAAATGTGTAAACGTTTAAGATCTACATTTTTGTAGTTAACAAATTTTTGTTAGATTTTTTAGTTTTTGAGATACAGTGCTTCTAAGAACCGGGCGCGCCAAATGGTCTGCTAATTATTTAGCAGCCTAAGAGAGACGCAGAGAGTTAGAGGGTTTCAAACATTAGTAAACCAATGCATACTTCAAAGCGGTATATCTCCTAAACCATTATAGCTACCTAAAAACTTTTAACTAGTAAGATATGTAAAATTTTCCGCTTCACATTTTTATAATTGGCAAATTTTTTCTAACTTTCTTAGTTTTGGAGATATACCCCTTCCAAACTTTGTTATGCCTTCTATAGCTAACTCTGCGGCTAACTATCAAGGAGTCTGCAAATCTACCGTAATCTCTTCTAATGGATCTATTTTGCAATTTTTTATATCTGTCACATCATCTAAACGTAAAATCATATGTATACAAAAAAGAAAAAAAATGACGAATAGAAAAACAAGTAGACTAAACTACTAAAATTCAGATAAACATTCAATATGACATCTTCTGGCTCCGCCCACTTCTCCTTCCCCCGGAGATGCGCCCCCAGACTACAGTATCCATTTCTTCCTGATCTTGCTTTTCCTTGCTTTTTCCCCCCGCCTTCATATTTGTGTGATAAAGATTTCTTATTTATTTTTCCCTTCAGAATCTTCAGAAGACGTGTGACACCTGTATAGATGAAGAAGAGAATATTTGTAGTCCTTATTCTCCGCTTCTAGGCTCCGCCCCCTACAATTTATAGGGGGTGATTGACGACGACATCCATCCCACACAAAACAAAAGACTTCCAGCCCACTATATAGATTCTGGAATTTGACTGGAAATTTCAGATTTTCCCCGTTTTCCCTATTTTTGAGACTTTTTATTTTCTTAAATGTTTCAAAAACCAAAAAAAAAGGCTTCAAAATTTTTATGTCAAACATTTTACTAGCTTCTGGCTTTTGAGATTCAAACTTCTCTATATGAAGAACTTCTAGAATCTATGCTAGGCATTTTAACGTTCTTTATCTAACGAACCATGAGAGCTAGTTAAGAATCGGCAACTAGAAAATTGCTCAGCTTAAAATTTTGCACATTTTGTTTCCTGACAAAATTTTAGTAGCTTCTCTAGTTGTTGAGATATGCGCCTTTAAAGTTGACCTATCCTGCGTCCTCGCGCAGTGTGGGTGTCAGCTAACTTTAAAGGCGCATATCTCAAAAACTACAATAGTTGCAAAAATTTTGAAAATATGAAAGTGTTGGAAATTTTATGCTGAGCAACTTTGTAGTATGTCAAATTTTGTTGGCTAACTTGGTTTTTAAGATATGCGCCTTTAAAGTTGGCCTAGCGGCGAGAGATGCAAAGAATTTTTCGTTCGCCTCGATTTTTGAGCACATTTTTAAAAGTGTTCAATCTCCTGAGCCAGAATGACTAGCAAAAAATTTTCAACTAATAAAATGTGTAAAATTAGAAGCTCTACATTTTTGTAAATAATCAACTTTCTCTAGCTTTTCTAGTTTTTGAGATATACCTATTTTTCTGTGTGCTCTTTCGAATTTGGTATATCCCCAAAACTAAACTAGCTATTGAAATTCTATAAATTGCAAAATTCGAAATATACTTTGTTTGGCTGCCACTCTCCAGGCCATTGCGAACTTTTGTTCCTAAAACCAAAAGGAGTTTGCTAATCAATTAATCAATTAATTAATTAGCTAATTAGAGTACTCCGGGCTGCTCTGAACTCTCTACACGTCTTTTTATAGTTTAGTTCTGAAAATTCTAGAAATTCTCACCCCTTTTGCCAGATTCTATGCCAGATTCCCACTCAATTAACTAGAAAAAAGATTACTGGAAGTTTTGCAGATTCTAGAACGTTTTGATTTTTAGAATTTTTTGAAATTTGAAGAACTTCTATTGATTCTTAAATAGGATTTTTTTAAATCCTTATAGCAGATTCAGAATTCCCAAAAGTTTTTGCAGGTAATCATGAAGACGTTGGCTTCGCTTCTAGCCATCGTGCTTGTTTCCACGACGTCAGCATCTATCCGTCGATTCATCGTCAAAAATGACGTCTTCATGGGAACACGTGCCCCCGAATTTTGTATGGACTATTTTGAGAGCTCTTCTGGTGAGTTGCTCCGGAAAATGAGGGATAACTCAAAAGCCAAAAACGCTTTAAAAAGTTGCCAACTAGAACAATGTAGATCTTGAAATTTTACACATTTTTCTAGTTGAAAACTTTATTCTAGTTTTTCTAGTTTTCAAGATATGACGCTTTGAAGCGGCGATTAGTCTGCTAGATATTTAGCAGACCAACGAGAGACGCGGAGAGTTAGAGCGTCTTCGAACTTTAGCAGACCAATTATTTTTCAAAACGTTATATCTCGAAAACTAAAAACGCTAGAAAAAAGTTTTCAACTATGAAAATGTGTAAAATTTTAAGTTCTATATTTTTGTAGTTAACACCTTTTTGTTAGCTTTTTTAGTATTTGAGATATAGCAAAAAATCTTGGGCTTAACATTTTATACATTTTATTAGTTGGAAACTTTTTTCTAGCGTTTCTAGTTCTCGAGATACAACGCTTTGAAGCGGCGATTGGTCTGCTAATTATTTAGCAGACCACTTTGAGAGACGCAGGTAGTTAGAGAGCGCATTCGAACATTAGCAGACCAATTCTTTTTCAAAACGTTATATCTCGAAAACCAAACAAGTTAGAAAAAAGTTTTTAACTAGCACAATGTGTAAAATTTTAAGATTACATTTTTGTAGTTGACAATTGTAAGCTAGCTCTGATGGTTTGTGAGATATGACGTCTTGAAGCTTTTCTAGTGAGTTGCTTCGGAAAATGGGGTATATCTCGAGAACCAAAAACGCTACGGAAAAGTTTCCAATTAGAGATATATGACAGCTACACATTTTAGTAGTTGTCAACTTTTTTCTAGCTTTTTTAGTTTTTGAGATACAACGCTTTGAATCGGCAATTGGTCTGCTAAATATTTAGCAGACCACTTTTGAGAGACGTAGGTAGTTTTTTAGTTTTTGAGATATAGCGTTTTGAAAACTGTTCTGGTGAGTTGTTCCCAAAAATAGGTATTATCTCGCTAGGCAAAAATGCCGAAAGAAAGTTTTCAACTAGTAAAATGCGTAAAATTTTAAGATCTACATTTTGCTAACTGAAATCAATTTTCTAGCTTTTTTAGTTTTTGAGATACAACACTTCAAATCGGCGAGTGGTCTGCTAAATATTTAGCAGACCACTTTTGAGAGACGCAGAGAGTTAGAGAGCGCATTCAAACATTAGCAGGCCCATTTGGACGTGCTATCTTAAAACGCTTATATCTCCTAAACCATAATAGCTATCAAACAATTATCAACTAAAAAAAAGTGTAAAATTTTAAGATCTACATTTGTGTAATTACTTTATTTTCTCTAGCTTATCTGGATGTTGAGATATGACGTTTCGAAGATGACCAAAACCCTAAAAATCCTTTTTCTAACATCTTTAAGGTATTACTCAGCTTATTTGTGATGTCCTATACTGTTTTCAAGTGGAAGTCAGTCAGAAAAGTTCAAAACGAATTTCGACTACAATTTTAAGATAAATGTGATATCAGAAGAATCAAGAATTCAACAGAATATTAGTCATAAAAACAATAATTTCAGCCAAACTAAAAACTGAAAATATCGATCGAGAAGTGCTGGAAAACGCAATCGATGGGAAGGAAAATTTTCTTCAACAAGAGGAATATTTTGTAAGGATTTTAAAAAATTTGAAAAAATTTGAAATACATTTTTTTTTTCAAAAAATCAAAAATTTTAATTTTTTAATATTTTCAGCGCCTCCAGAATTCCATCCAAAACCTCGCCGAGAGCCAGAATCCAGAGCACATTTGCGATGCTGCTGAATTCGCACCAACCATCCTTTCAGCAGACTACCAGTACACATGCCTAGAGGTAATTAGCCCCCAATTAGCACTAATTAAGCTTAATTTTCTAAAGATTTGCCAAAGCTGCATGCCAGGAAGCACACCAATCTGCTATCAACGATCTCCAAGATATCCGTAAGTGGTGGCGGCTAGCTCGAAATTTGAATTTTGGAAAAAAATTCAAAAAAAAAATTGTTTGAAAAATTTTTTTGAACATTTTTTAAAACTTTCAGAGGACTCGCCCAAGTTTGCCTGTGCACCTATGATCTTCAGAAGCCAGTGGAGAACGCCGCATTCTCAATTCGCCACGAGAAACGAGTTTTTAGCCGGAAAATTCGACGAACCTAAAATTTCCAGCAATTTCGATATTCGAATTTTTGCAATTTAAAATCAATAAAGTGCATATTTGTTAACTTTTTCTGTTCAAATCTCTCACACAAAGTCCCAAATCTCTTGCTCAAACAAAGTTTTTAAAGATTTTTAACCCTTGTTCGAGCCTATTTTTTCAGATTTCTGTCCATAACTTTTTTCAGAGAAGAGATCTCGCTCTGAAATTTGGTCCATTCGTTTTAAAATTGAATTTAGAACATTTTCATGACAAAAAAACAAAAAAAAATTTTCAAGATTAAGGCATTTTTCAAAAATCTCAAAAAAAAATTTTTTTGATTTTTCGTTATGAAAATGATTTAAATTCAATATAAAAACGAATGGACCAAATTTCAAGAGAGATATCTTTTTTCTGAGAGAAGTTATGGACAGAAATTTGAAAAATCAACATTTTTTCGAATTTTTAATATTATTGTTTTTAAGCCCAAACCTCTGTTGCCAACTTTCAACTCAATTTCAAAAAAATTTTGAAAATTATAAAAAATGTTATTATACAAAGTAAATAAATAAATTAAGAGGTATCAAAGCATGATAATAAATTAATTAACATTTGAGCATGATTATAAATTCGAAATTCGAAAAATTAAGAAAATCAAAATTTAAAATTTCGAATCCAACAGATCTTCATCGATTTCATCGATATCGCGAACTTCTATGTTCTGGAAAACCACTAATTAATTAATCAACTAATCAACTTCTCAATTACCTTTGACACGTGGCACTCGTTGACGATGAAGTTGCGGCTACCGGCGTAGAGCATTTGGAGTTCTGGGCTGCTTCCTGGAATATAATTTTTTTCAAAATTTAAAATTTTTAAATTTCCCGCCTACCATTCGGGCAGTAATAAATGAGAAGCATTGGGAACGAGACGCGCTCATCTGAGTGTTTTTTGCTCCAACTGAGCAATACGAAACGTGGCTGTTGAGATGGAAGCTCTTCTTTGAATTCGTCAATTGAGCAATCGTTCAGAAGTTGCTCCGATTGGAGCTCGTGCGATTCACGATCGATTTTCACTGAAAAAAATCGAGGTTTAGTATAAATTAAAATTTTTTAAAAAAATCCTGAAAACTCTGAAAATCCAAAATCCTTAAAATTGTCACGAATTTTTGAATTTTTGATGTTTTTAAAATTATCAAGATTTTCTGAAATCCAATAAATTCTAAAAATCTTTAAAAATTTTTTGTTTTCATGATTTTTGGAATTTTAGAATATTCAGAATTTCAAAAACTTTTCAGGATTTGAATTTTTTGGATTTTTTGTTACATTTCAAACAAACTTGGATTTTCAGAATTTTTAGGATTTTTCATGATTTTTAGAATTTTTTGGATTTTCAGGATTTTATCATTTACAATATTTTAAGGAAATTTTCAAAAATTTCTGGATTTTCTGATATTTTTTGAGTTTTCAAGATTTCTTTAAATTTAAGATTTTTGAAGATTTCTGTTTTTTTTTATTTTTGGATTCTAGATTTTCTAATTGTAAGATTTTAGGATTGTTTGGTTCAGTTTAATTTTTAATACAGCGCTGTTTCTCTGCGTCTCTCTCTCTACCCAATGGGTCTGCTAAATATTTAGCAGACCCAAATACTCACAAATCAACGCATTCATCGTGGTGGATTTCGAGAATCGAAACTTCTTCAGCTCCTCCTTAACACCGTCTGGAATGTAGCAAATCGTCAGAGCCGACGTCATACTTTTCTCTGTAATTAGGGGGATAATTAGGGGTAATTAGAGCCGCTAGAGGTCAGAATAAGGATAATAAATGTCAAAAATATAAATAACCGTTTTGAAAAACGGAAATTGGTGTAAAAATAATGAAAAAAGTGCAAAAAAAGTTTTTTTTTAATTTTACATAGTAAAAAATAGTGAAAAAAAAGGCTAATTTTCTGAAAGAATGCAAGATGAAAAAGTGCGAAAAATAGATTTGAAAAATTACGATTTTCAGGTAATTATAGAGACTAATTAGATCCAATTAACTAATCAAAACGAAAAGTACAACAATTCGGTGCCATATGATTCTTCGTGCTGGCCACCGGTGTCAGCAGATTCGTCTGACCCATTCGTCGCATCGATTGATTGAAGGTGACAATGCCCGAGTGCATAATTATGTCGTGATTAGCGCCAATTAACGCGAATTCTCGGGTTTCTGCTGGAGATGGGAATTGCATTGGTTGAGGGTGCCAGCTAAAACCAAACTTTGAAAAAATTCCAAAAAATCCCCCCCCCCCCCTGCCCCTCTTTTTTCTAAATAATTTAATAATTAAATTTGATAATTAACTCACACCAACTCCTGAAAATCCTCCAAATCAATATTCCGATCGATTTCCGCCACAAAAATCGATAATCGCTTCACAACGCTATTCCGATTGGGGACACGAGCCACAAGCTGATCCATATGGCTAATATCGTAGTATTTGGATTCTAGAATCTTAATTAGTCTCTAATTAGACGCTTGTTAACCCACGTAGCTGATTAACGGCTGCTAAAATCGATTGTCTCAGTTCCCATCGATCAAAATCGTCTAATTTCGGAACCTTTTTATTTTTCCTCATCGTTATTCGAAGCCGAACTTTTGCTGGTTTTGGTTTTCCATTTCTATAAGGAAATCTGTTTGTCCGGATGTCCCCCAAAAACATCAAAATTACCCATTCACAAAACAGTTCTCTATTTTGCAGTGCATACTTAAAAATTTGAACACCGCGCACGTCTTCAGGTCAGTAGCCGACGACGTTGGCACATTCTGGTCCGTTCGTTTTTGGAATTCGGTCTCCAGATGACGTGTCAGATGACGTACGAATTCACGATAGTGCAATTGGGTCGCGTCGTATTTGTCGGAGATGCACGGGCGGGGAACCTGGAATTGGGTCTGCTAATTATTTAGCAGACTACAAACTACAAAAAATTGCGATAAAAATGAGCCATTTTGCACTTTTCTACGTTGATTTTTAGCAAAGTTAGGGCGAAAACAAGAATTTGGGTCTGCTAGCTATTTAGCACACCAACGAGAGACCCAGAGAAGCAGAGTCCTTTCAAACATTAGCAGACCAATGCGAGACGCAGGCGAAGAGAGTCTGCTAGTGTTTACGCAAGCGATAAACATTAGCAGACCCACCAGAGACGCAGACAGTTAGAGCGCTTTCAAACATTAGCAGACCAATGCGCGCTCCCTCTTTTTCTCTGCGTCTCCCGTTGACCCTGCTAATTATTTAGCAGACCCATGAGGGACGCAGAGAGTCAGAGCGTTTTCAAACATTAGCAGACCCACACCCACGCAGACGCGCGCCGTTCATATTTCAAAAGGTCATATCACAGAAACCATGCTAGCTAGCGAAAAATTTTCAACTCGGAAAAAGGGTAAAATTTTACGCTCTACATTTTGGTAGTTAACACATTTTTTCTAGTTTCACTAGTTTTTGAGATATGCACTCAAACTCACACTATGTTCATTTTTCAGTCTTCCAAGTGAGACCAATCGAATCTTTGTCGAATTCCGAACGGCAGCAATCTGATGAAACTCGAAATTTGGCATCGAACAGTTCGCATTGCCACGTGGCAACAGCCATTGAGGTGCGTCTCGATGAAGCTCCGCGCCCTCGCGAGGCCTCCACCATCGGCCCACTGTTGGAATCGTTTTCCACTCCCACATTTGATATTCATCACTAATTAGGTCATCCTGCGGATCGTATTCGATGAGTACTGAACTACCGTAATCCCCGGGTTGCAGTTCTCCGGTGAGCAATATCAACCCTTCGCGGATTAGGACGAGTTTCGTTTTTCGCCAGTCGAATCTGCAAAAACCACAGTAATCCATATTAATTGAACTTCAAAAATTGATCCAAAAACTACAGTAATCCTCATTATTTCAATTTTAACACAGATCACTCCAAAAAGTACAGTAATTTATTTTTTTCCAATTTTAAAAGTTACTCTAAAACTACAGTAATCCTTATCATTTTGATTTTTAATAAAGGAATCCGAAAACTACAGTAATCCACTTTTTTTAATTGGAAAACAATGAATCCGAACACTACAGTAGTCCTGCTTCATTTCAATTCAAACATACGGAATCCGGAAGCTACAGTAATCCATATTATTCAAATTAAACAAAAAAACTAAAAATTACAGTAATCCTGATTTTTCGAATAGGAAAATTATGAATCCATAACTACAGTAATCCATGTTCCCATTTTTCCAAAAAACGCTCAAAAACACTGAAAAAGTATATTGTCAAAAAGTTTTCAAATTATTTTTTAGTGTTTTTGACAAATTTTCTAAAAAATGAAAAAAAATTTCGAAAATTTTTTTGTCTGGAATTTTCAGATTTTTCTGAAAATTCTGTATTCAGCTTTAAAACATTCTAGAATAGCCTAAGAATGATTCTCAGAAAATGTAAAAAAAATTGGAACCGAGTGGAATCGAACCCGGGTCGTCAGATTGCTAATGAAAATCCAACTGAGCCGTTTGGTCATTTTTCAAAGTCAAAATTTTTGATTTTTGAGAGGTTTCAGGGGGTTTTCAAGTGTTCTAGAGTTGATTTTTAGGCAATTTTCACTCCAAAATGCTCGATCCACTCACTTCGGAAACACCACTGGCGGTCTGGGAGGTACAACTGGTTCCTCAAATTCTGTTGAATGCATCATATCAATAATTTTAAACTCTTCGGTTTTTAAATTCATCGCTGTCAGTCGTGCCATCGTATCCGGTGTCTGACTCCATCCACCGTACATTATCATAAAATTATTTGTTATAATTGCCGAGTGACCAGCCATCGGCGTCTGATGGTTTGATGCGGATTCTGCGCCACGACGCCACGTGGAACTGGCGACGTCGAAGAAATGGAGTTCCGAGAAGAAGACGTCACGACCATCGTGACGATACGCACGACCTCCATACAGTACCAATTGATCCTGGAATTCAAAATTTGGATATTTTTAATCTCAGCCGTGTTTCAGTCAAAAAATCGTTGAAAATCAGTAAACTAAGCAGAAAATGACCGCGATTAGTCTTTTCATTGTTTGTGCTAGAGAGTTAGAGACGCAGAGGAAAAGAAAAGGAAGCGTTCGAAAACAAACAAAACATGATCAAAAACCAATCGGAAGTGACTAATCAGAAGAAAAATCGATTTTTGGTCAGCTAAATATTTAGCAGACCCATTTTTTCAATTTCCCACCTAATTAAGGCCTAATTAAATTCCAAAAAAACTACAAATTTTCACTGGAAACAACAACAAAACGAAAATCACTATTTAGCAGACCAATTTCCGCTGGATAGGCCAACTTTAAAGGCGCATATCTCAAAAACTAGTGAAACTAGAAAAATTTGGTTAACTACAAAAATGTGTAGCTTGAAATTTCACACATTTTACTTGTAGAAAATTTTTCGCTAGGCTATTATGGTTCGGGAGATACAGCGTTTTGAAATATGCGCACATTGGTCTGCTAATGTTGGAAAGAGCTCTGCCTCCCTGTGTCTCTCGTTGGTGTGATAAAAATTTAGCAGGCCAACGAGAGACGCAGAGAAGCGAGAGAATTTGTCTGCTAATTAATTCGCAGGTCTGTTAAGCTACAGGCTGTTAGAAGCCAAAAATTTGTCAATTTGAAAGTGAAAATTGACTAAAAATCAAGCAAAACCGGCAAATACTCATTAGCTTGATGATCTTTTGCTAAATGCTCATTTGCTAAACTCGCTCATTTGCTAAAATAGTCTCTTTTGCTAAATTTCATTTGCTAAATTTTTATCATTTGCTAAAAATGAAAAAGTGAAAATTTTGCTGTTATTTTCTAATTTCAGTACTTTTGGATCCATTCTTTACAGAATATTCCGGTTTTTGCTTTAAATTTTAGGCTTAGGCTTAAACACCTGTTTTCCGGTAAGTAGTTTCAGCCTAAGCCTTCAATTTGAACAAGTCCCCTATTTAGCAAATGATCAAAATTTAGCAAGTGGGACTATTTTAGCAAATGAGCGAGTTTGGCAAATGAGCATATTTAGCAAGTGAGCATTTAGCAAAAGATCATCAAGCTAATGAGCATTTGCCAGCAAAACTTTTGAAACTTAAAACAGGAATTTCCGAATTTTCGAAAACTTTTCTTATTGTCGGATTAAAAAAAGTGACACCTGAAAATCTCGGAGACGGCGCTCGTGTCGATTTACGAGGGGGCGGAGCGAAAACGGATACTGTAGATAACAAATTTATTTATGTGAATTTAGTGGGATTTTCTGAACAAAATTTTGAATTCTTGGTATAAAAATGATCGCTAGCATCTCTAGAACCTATTTTTCAGCAAAAAACTAAAATCAAACGCAAAAGTAGCTCGAACGAGCCGAAATTCTGAAATATTACGTTTTTGCCGCACTTTTTCGTAGATCAAAAAAAGCAAAAGTTTTCAAATTCTCAGGTGTCACTTTTTTTAATTCGACAATATAAAAATTCTTATATGGTTTTGAAGCCCATAAAATTTCCTACAATTCGGTATAAACTTCATTTTTCTAGCTTGACGTTGAAAAAAGTTATGCGCCTTTAAACTTCCAGAAAGTGGGGGACGATGCACCATGTCGCATGTGTTTGAAGACGCATAACATTTTTCAAAAATTTGCCAGAGAAATACAATTTTTACCATATTGTAGCTCTTCAAATTTCCTACAATTTGGTATAAACTTCAAAAAAAGTTATGCGCTTTTAAGTGCTCCTAAAACTGCTCAACCGATTTTTGCCAATTCTTTTTGGTCTGCTAAATATTTTTCTTGAATTTTAGGGCTAATTAACCACTTACACCCCATGTAACAAAAGACGCTTGACACTTTGGCGATGGATATGGTGCTCCTCGAATCACAACCCTGCTCCATCTCATCGTTCCCGTCTCCAGACGCCATAAATCATTAAACGTGGCTCTCGGACCCCCATCCATTTGTTCCAGCGTCTCTCCTCCGAACATATAAACACACTGATCCTCGGGAAAATAGGTCATCGACACGTTCTGTCGATCACACATCATTTTCTCATCATCGTCAACGTCTTCTGGTGGAGCACCACGATCGAATTGATAGAATGGTCGTTGTGGAAATTCGTCGTCGAGGTGACGAAGTTGAATATCGATTAGTTCTGATAGTTCTGGACAGGCGGTTTTGAGGGTTTCTAGGTCGGGAAGTCTGAAAAAATGACTAAACTGTTCCGTTTTTCAGTTTTTTCAGCTTGAAAATTCAAAAATATCGAATTCTCTTTTCAAAATCCTTCAAAATGAGACTAATTTCATATTTCTAAGTTCATTTTGAAGAAAGTTATTGTCGAATTAAAAAAAGTGGGACCTGAGAATTTGAAAGGCGTAGATTTTTTTGATCTACGAAAAAATGCGGCAAAAACGTAATATTTCAGACTTTTGCCTCGTTCGAGCTACTTTCGCAATTAAGTTCGGTTTTTCGATGAAATACAGATTCTAGAGATACTAGCGATCATTTTCATAGAAAGAAATCTAAATTCTGTCCAGAAAACCCCCCACCGAATTCACAGAAATAAGTTTCGTTTACTACAGTAGTGATTTTGGAGAGAGGTCTCGTAAATTGACCCGAACGCCGCCCGCGAAATTTTCCAGGTCCCACTGTCCTTAATTCGACAATATGATGAAAACAAAAAAAGCGTTGGTCTGCTAATTATTTACGCCCTCTCGTTTCTCTGCGTCTCTTTGGGTCTGCTAAATAAATAGCAGACCCACGCTCTCGTTTACTTTGAGTAAAACATTAGCAGACCCACGAGAGACGCAGAGAGTCAGAACGCATTCAACATTAGCAGACCATAGGCCTGCTAAATAGATAGCAGACTCACACTCTCTCTTTCTTTCTCCGCGTCTCTTTGGGTCTGCTAAATAGCAGGCCAACGCGGCGACATTAGCAGACCCATGAGAGGCGCAGAGAAACAAGAGAGCGTTGGCCTGCTAAATCTTTAGCAGGCCAACTTTCTCTGCGTCTCTCAACAGCGCGCGCAAACATTAGCAGGCCAATGGGTACCCTTCCTTAAAACGCTCATATCTCAAAAACTAGAATCGCTGGAAAAAAAGGTCAACTACAAAATTGCACAGCATAAAATTTTGCACATTTTTGTTATTAACAACTTTTTGATAGGTACCGTAGTTTTCGAGTTATGCGCTTTTATAGTTGACGCTTGCTTTGGTACCTAAAGGAAGGGTGCGCTAACTTTAAAGGGTCATAACTAAAAACCTACTGTAGCTATCAAGAAGTTGTAAACTACAAAAGTGTGAAAATTTTTCTGCTGAGCAATTTTGTAGTTGGCTAATTTTTTTCAGCGATTTCAGTTTTTCAGATATCAGCGTTTTGAGATCTTTTGGCTTATTTTCATCGGAATATTTTGTAAGAATGTTTAAAATAATCCGAAATTTCAGAATCTTTTTTTCAAATCTTTGTAACTCTGATTACCTCAAAAATCTCAACATATTCAAAAGTGCTGGTTCGGGCATCCTGAGCACATACTTCTCGTAGTCGAACGTTCGAATGGCATCTGCAACGAAAAATCCGATTTTTAAAATTCATTGGAGCGCATTTTCTATCTGGGAAATTTCAAATTTCAAACACATTATAAATTTGTCAATTTTCAGCCATTTCCTGTTCTGAAAACGGAAATAAATACCTAAAAATTTCCGTTTTTCGTCCAATTTTCCTTCTATAACCCTAATCTGATGTGTACTTTGGCTAGAGGAGGGGGGAATACTGATAACAGCAGGCCTAAAACGGCCAGTTTGAAGACAGAAAATCAGAATTTTTGTCTTTTTTTGTGGTGATTGGTGATAACGATTATGCATGTATTGTACGTATTGGAGGACAAACACGCGCTCCGTTATAGGCTAGGTGCCGGTTTGATTGATTTCCCCTTTTCTTGCTCTTTCCGAATTTTAGGATTTTCAGGGAAACAAAACTTTTTGAACTAGAATTTTTTAAAGTTCTGTCTTATGTCTTTATTCTGTTAGGTCAAAAGATTCCAAAAATTCAAAAAAAATTTTTTTTGAATATTTGGATTTTTCAGGATCCTCAATTTTTATTCAGAATGAAATAATCGAAAATTCTAAAATTCTGATCTTAGGCTATAACTTGATTAGGATAGCTTAAAATCCGAATCTCAAATTCCGATTTCTCCTTAAAATTTTTTTTTTCAAATTTCTGCAAATTCCAAAACTACAGTAACCTCTCTAGAACTGCAATTCTAATTTTCCTTTTTTGTCTATTTTTGATGCAATAGACGGCTTAAAAGTACGCGTGATACATGTACCTATCAGGTGGTGCTCGATAAGCTTCTTCTTCAGTTTTCCAAAAAAAAAATTTTTTGATTTCAAAAAATTTTTTGGATCATAATTCCCATATTTTTGATCCTACAGTACTCATTTTTGTACCAATAGATAGGAAATTTTGTAGAGAACATTCTGGACAAGAAACTCTAAAATATCTAGTCAATTTCTAGCAAAAAATGAAGCTATGATCCTTTAAAACCCCTTCCAAAGCTTCATAATTTCCCAAAACTTCAAAATTGTCAAAAGTTTCGATTTTTCAGCTTGACGTAAATGTCATCAGCCTATCAAACACTTGAGCACGACGTGCCGCAGTCTTATCGGTAAGAAACTACAAATCGAAATGGTCTGCTAGATATTTAGCAGACCCGAACTAGATGTATCCTCTTCCCTTCGAGTTCTGGGTGCCTCCTGAGCAGCCAACTTTAAAGGCGCATAACTCCAAAACTACAGTACCTATCAAAAAGTTGTCAACTACAAAAATGTGCAAAAAAAATTTTATGCTGAGCAATTTTGTAGTTGACCTTTTTTCCAGCGATTCTAGTTTTTGAAATATGCACCTTTAAAGTCAGCGTTCTAAGGTAGCCCACACGCTTCAAGGGGTCTGAGCAGAGAAAGCGTGGGTCTGCTAAATAATTAGCAGACCAATTTCCCCAAAATATGTCGATTTTCAGCGACAAGATCCTCAAGTGGAACGGCTGGGGATACAATGATTCGCAATTCGCCATCAACAAGGATGGTCATGTGACGTTTACCGGAGATAAGTGAGTTAAATTCTTGAGCTGAGTAGTCATGAACTTGAATTCTAGACTTCCAGGCTTCTGAACTGCTTTTTTGGATTGATCCTAGATCCTAGTTTCTAGAACCTAGATCCTAGATCCTCTTAAATCCTCGATTCTAGGTCCTCTAGATCCTAGATCCTCCACAATTTGAATTCTAGAACCCCAATTTTTAAATTTCAAGACACTCCAATCATCCCAAAAACTTTCAGATACGACATCTCCGGCAAAGTGATGCCCCACTTCCGTCCATGGTTCGAGAACTATCTCGGAATCGACCTCAACTACGTCAGCCCAGCTCAGAAGCTCTCCGACGTCGTCATCGACGCACCAGTGGAGAACGAGGATCTTATCGATTTCCTCAAAGAGAACAATATCTCCTTCTCAAACTCGGCTCGCATCCGTTTGATGCGCGCTCATGGCCACACTGTTCACGATATGGTCAACTTGAGAGAGGGAAAGATTCCACGTCTTCCAGACGTCGTCGTTTGGCCAAAGACCGAACAAGAGATCGTCAAGATTATTGAGGGGGCAATGAGCCATAATTGTGCGATTATTCCAATTGGAGGTGGTACGTCGGTGACGAACGCTTTGGACACCCCAGTCACCGAGAAACGAATGGTTATCTCGTTGGATATGGCGCTGTTGGATAAGATTCTCTGGATTGATCGCGAGAATTTGACATGCAGAGCTCAGGCTGGAATCGTTGGACAATCATTGGAGAGGCAGCTCAACAAGAAGGGTTTTACTTGTGGTCATGAACCGGATTCTATCGAATTCTCGACACTTGGAGGATGGGTGTCGACTAGAGCCAGTGGAATGAAGAAGAATAAGTGAGTTCTAGAAGCTAGATGCTAGATCCTAGATCTAGGTCCTTATAGATCCTTCTAGATCCTTCTAGATCCCTATAGGTCGCTCTAGATCAGTTTACTTCCTTGCAAGTCTTTGTAGGTCCTTTTAGAATCTTCTAGATCTTTCTAGTTTCTTCTAGATACTTCTAGATTCTAGATCCTCTAGATCCCTACAGATCCTAGATCCTTCTAGGTTTCTTTTAGATCTGATTACATCTTTCCAAGCCTTTGTAGGTCCTTTTAGAACCTTCAAGATTCTTATAGATCCTAGATCCTACATCCTAGAATCGCAAAATTTCCTTTTCCCTAGTATAAAAATCAAAATCTCAGAATCTATCATAACTTACAATATAATGATCCTAGAACATTGATTTTTGCACCGATCGATAGGAAATTTTCAAACAAGACATTCCCAAAATTCCTAAATCCTAGAATTTTAGATTTTATGATTCAAAATTAATTTTAAGCCGACTAGAGTAATCTAAAGTTTTGGGATCCTAGAATTTGAATTATAATAGAATCTGGGATTTTAGAGAGGCCAGAAATCCTGTATCCTAGATCCTAGATCCTAGAATATCTAGATATTAGATCCTTATAGATCCTTATAGATCCTATAATCTGATCCTTCAGGTACGGAAACATCGAGGACCTAATCGTCCATCTCAACTTTGTCTGCCCAAAAGGAATCATCCAAAAACAATGCCAAGTACCTCGCATGTCTTGCGGCCCCGACATTCATCAAGTTATCCTCGGATCGGAAGGAACCTTCGGTGTCGTTTCCGAAGTCACCATGAAGATCTTCCCCCTCCCCGAAGTCAAGAGATACGGTAGTTTCGTGTTTCCCAACTTCGAGAGCGGTGTCAACTTTTTCCGTGACGTCGCCAGACTACGCATTCAACCCGCCTCGCTTCGTCTCATGGATAACGATCAATTCGTGATGGGACAGGCGTTGAAGGTGGCTTCTGATTCGTGGTGGGCTAGTTTGAAGAGCTCGGTGAGCAAGATGTACATCACTTCGTGGAAGGGATTCAAGGTTGATGAGATTTGCGCGGCCACATGTGTCTATGAGGGAAGTCGCGAGGAGGTGGATCAACAGGAGGAGAGGCTGAATAAGTTGGCTGCTGAATTTCATGGAGTTGTTGGAGGAGAAGAGAATGGACAGTATGGGTATAGGCTCACTTTTGCTATCGCCTATTTGAGAGTAAGTGTGTTTTTTGAGGTTTCTGGGATCTGAGATCTAGGATCTAGGATCTAGGATCTAGGATCTAGGATCTAGGATCTAGGATCTAGGATCTAGGATCTAAGATCTAAGATCTAAGATCTAGGATCTAGGATCTAGGATCTAAGAACTAAAATCTAGGATTCTATGATTACAAGATTCTGGGATTCTTAACATTTTGGATTTCTGACCTCTAAGATCTCTTATTCATGATTTCTAACTTCCAGGACCTCGGAATGAACCATGGCGTCCTTGGAGAGTCCTTCGAAACCTCCGTCCCATGGGACAAAGTTCTAAGCCTCTGCAGAAACGTCAAGGAGCTCATGAGACGTGAAGCCAAGGCTCAGGGAGTCAAGCATCCAGTGTTGGCGAGTTGTCGAGTGACACAAGTGTACGATGCCGGTGCATGCGTTTACTTTTACTTTGGTTTCAACGCAAGAGGACTGGCAGATGGTATGCATGTCTACGATCGTATTGAGGTTAGTTGGATCGATGTTTTAGCAGACCAAAATTTTCGAAAACGAGCCCCAATTGAGCCCAAAACAGGCTCTGCCATAGTTTCTTTCAAGATCAAGATTTTTGACCAACTAAATTAGATTTGATAGAACTTGACAAGAGCTACAAAATGCAAAAGTTTGGAAAGCTATACCTTGTCTATGAACAAAGTTATAAGCTAGAAACCTGCCTAACTTTGTTCATGGACTAGATATAGTAATCCAAATAGTGTCATTTTGTAGTAGAGTCAATTTTCAAGTTCAAAATGAACCCAAAAACTAGACTCGGATCCGAAAACGTCGGCTTACTGTAGTCGACTTTTCAAACTACCGTAACCACGCTAGTTTTAGTTTAATTTTCCTGAAAGTTATACGAATCGAATTGGGATTCAATGAGCTTTAAGATAGCTATTAAAAAAAATCATATATTTCCAGACAGCTGCTCGCGATGAGATCATCGCCTGCGGCGGATCAATTTCCCATCATCACGGCGTCGGAAAAATCCGAAAACAGTGGATGCTGACGACGAATGGAGCTGTCGGAATTGCTCTTTTGAAGGCAATCAAATCCGAGCTGGATCCGGCCAACATTTTTGCCAACGCTAACTTGATTGATATTATTGGATCGCCGCATTGCAAGTTGTAAGATGCCCACTTTTCTACCGTATCCTTATTTTTTGATTGTTAATAAATATTAAACTTTATTAAAGGCATTATTTCTTGTATTTTTCGTATGCTTGTGTTCCTTTGATTGTTAATAAACTTTATAATCCATATAAGCTATCCCTTGCCTCCTTCCAACGTTTGTCATAGCCAAAGAGACAGGTTCTCTCTTACGCAACGCCTTCCAAGGCGAGAAAGAATCAAATGGAAATTCGTTTCGGGAAGAAGAAGAGGAATCAGGAATATCATAAGAAAAACATTTGATAAAACATAAAACACATATGGGGGGAAGGAAGGAAAAGAACAAGCTTAACGACTTCTTTTTTTTTTGGTCTGGTAGAGACCAATGGCTATCCAAGACGAAGCTTCTTAATGAGGCATTATTCAGTGTCGACACATGAAACTTTTGAAATGGATTATTCTGATTTTCTTGGTAGATCAAACAGGTTAGTTCTCTAGCACGCCTATATCTCAAAAACCTAAAAAGTTAGCAAAACTTTGTCAACTATAAAAATGTAAAACTTGCATTTTTGCACATTTTGTTTGTTAACAACTTTTAAGGGTTCGGTTGCAGGAGCGTTGGTCTGCTAAATAGCTAGCAAGCCAACTTTTTCTCTGCGTTTTGTTGGTCTGCTAGCTATTTAGCAGACCCAATTAGCAGAAAAATTGACAAAAATCGGTTAAAAATGAAAATGGAAAATAATTCCTCAGCATGAAAACGAAAATTGACTAAAAATCAATCGAAAAATCGGATTTTTAAGCTAAAATCAGAAATTTTCCAGTTTACAGAAACTTTTCCCACATGAATTCATATGTCGTTTTAAGTCCATAAAATTTCCTACAATTTGGTACAAATTTTATTTTTCTAGAGCATTATTGAAAAAAGTTATGCGCCTTTAAACTTCCAGAAGGTGGGGGACGATGCACCATGTCACATGTGTTTAAAGGCGCATAACATTTTTCAAAAATTGAAAAAAGTTATGCGCCTTTAAAGATGAAAATGATCCTAAAATTGCCATTTTTGGTCTGCTAATTGTTTAGCAGACCCAAAATTACCTCAAACTTCTTTTTCAGAACCTAGAACCCTTCGAAAATGGACCCAAAACAAAATAACCTGGTCGTTCGGCGACCCTTATCACTATCTAACTCCCCGACAGTTCGATGGTGTACGGTAATAATCCCAAAAATAAAAAAAAATCATTTTTTGCAAAAATTTCTAGTCGTACTGTACAAGAGTCGTTTGCCAAATGGGCGATAGCCTTAGAGAATTTGATGGAATTCGAGGAGATTTTAGATGATCAAGAAGCAAATATTCGCGTATTTTTCGCCAAGAAAAATCATTCGTGTTATGAGGTGAGTGATATGATTATATTGCGCATTGATAAGAAGCTAATTGCGCAGGACAGACATCCAGTGAACGAATTTTGGACTTACCAATCCACAATTTTGACTTCTCTTGCGGCTCGATCACTTCCAGTGTACCATTAATCAGTGCTGACATTTCTATGACTGAAAATTTCGTAAATTTTAAAGAATTTCTCGAATTCTAGTCAAATACTTCCATTCCTAGTCAAAAACGTTATTTTTAACCCGAAAACCGCGCAAAATGCGAAAAACCAGTTTGAACCGCTGAAAAATACAAATTTTCGCTTTTTTTGCGACATTTTCCAAAACATGACCAAATGGCTCAGTGAGGTTTTCGCTAGCGATCTGACGACTCGAGTTCGATTCCACTCGGTGGCAAAATTTTTTGATTTTTGTGTAGACCATTTTTAGTCTATTCTAGAATGTTCTAGAGCTCAAATTCCGAAAAATCTGAAATTTTCAGAAAAAAAATTTTTATCAAAAAAACGTTTTTTTTTTTGCTTTTTTCGGAATTCTTAAATTTTGAAATTTTTTTAGGAATTCGATGGGAAAGGAGGTGTGGTTGCTCATTCAATGTATCCACCATTTGGAGTGCTACATTTGGACGGGGATGAGCAATGGTATGCTACAGATGAAAATGAAGAGATGGATCAGAGAGTTATTGATTTGAGAATGGTGAGGAGGGACTACAAAAACTACAAAGGCTAAAAATGTCACTTTTTAGATGAAAAAAATTTTTCTCAAAATTAAATTTTTTTTTTAATTTTTAAAAAATTTCAGGTCCTGATCCATGAAATTGGTCACACTCTAGGACTACGGCACTCCAGAAGAAAAGCTTCCGTTATGAGAAAACACTACGAGTAAGAGTTTTGGGTTACTGTAGAATTTTGGGAATTTTCCAAAAAAAAATTTTTTTTTCCAAAATTTTGAGATTTTTCGTAGAAATCGTAGATTTCGACTTTTTCGGTAAAAAAGAATCCTTTTCTGTGTCACATGACATCGGTATGAGACCGGTTTCTCTGGTTTTTGTAATGATGCAAAAAAAAAAGGGAAATTTAAAAATTGTTCAAAAAAGGTTTTTTTTCAGAAAACCCAAAAACCCCCACAAGATTCGCCTATCAAAGTACGATGTTCGAGCTATTCGGGAGCTGTATGGATCATAGGAAAATTGGGAAAAAAAAAATCAATTTTAGCTTTATAATTTTAAAAAAACAGGTCAAACAAAGAAAAATCCATTTCAAAAAACAATTCCTAACTATAATTTTTCAAATAATTAACACTAAAACAAAAAAAACTGGAATTTCAAGAAAAGAAGTGGCTACTCGTCTGGTGTGATGTTGTCGAAAATCTGGCGGACTTGTTCGTCTTCCTGCAACATCTCATACAGCTTCTGAATCTTCGGCGCTTCTGCTTCTGGACAATCGATAGGATGCACGGCGCGGAACTCAATTTCAGACTGCAAAATCGAAAATCCCGCTTTGCCCAATTGACTTTCCACATTTGACAACGATTTCGAGTCGCAAATCAATTCGAATTTCTTCGTTGAGTCCTCCTCGATGAGTAGAACCTCTTCCACATCGAATTCTAGACCGACTTCTTCCATCTGGAAGAGGAAATTGTTAATTGGTCTGCTAATTAGTAGATTGAGGGTTCAAAATGCTGGAAATTGGTTCATTTTTCATTGAATATGGTTGATTATGAGCCAAGTTACGAGCGGAACAGCCAATTGCTGGGAGCGCATTGGTCTGCTAATTATTTAGCAGGCCAATTTTAGAGACGCAGAGTGTGAGAGCGCATTCAAACATTAGCAGACCCAGGCTCTCTCGCTTCTCTGCGTCTCGTGGGTCTGCTAAATATTTAGCAGGCCAACGCGCTTCACTCAAACATTAGCAGACCCACGAGACGCAAAGAAACGAGAGAAGTGGTCTGCTAAATAATTAGCAGGCCAACGCTTTTTCAAAGATTAGACCCAATGTCTACTTC